ATAAAGACAAGTGTTTGTCTGTGAATGCTGCGAGTTATAGTGAAGCTGATTTGTGTACTTGTGTTTGAAACTGTCTCTATTAAGCCATGTTTAATGTGTGTTTAATGTGTGTTTTGAATCAACTAAACTTTACAGCACTTCACACAGTCCTCCACCACCGACTAGCGTAACTGCAGAGTGACACAGACACACCAATGCAGAAGTAAAAATAACATACAGATTTTTTTTTCCCCCACGACTAATCGATTAGTTGAAGATTATGTGCGACTTTAGTCGACCGAGATTTTCTGTGGTTGACTACAGCCCTAGTCACCAGGATCATATGATGACACACACACACACAGATTTACAGGGTGAAAACAATACCGGCCATCATGATGCTGTCGTGACTGATGATCTTTGCTTTCAAGACGTCACGTCCTCTGATCTTTGCCGATCAGAGGACGTGACGTCTTGTGTGGAGCTTGAACATGGCTCCGTGTAGACCCAGAGAGACACTCGGTGGAATCAGCCAACACAAGACCGGTCAACTGTGAGGAGAGGTGTCTATCCATGTCTCAGTCGAGGAACTGCTCGCTACACACATCACACTTCACACTTTATAAACACACACGCTGCTGGAAGGCTGCGCTACAGGCCGAATGTTCTGCGTGATCGTTTGATGATCCTGCTTCAGTGTCAGGCCCCGCTGTGTGTGTGTAATGTGACAGAAGCTTCTATACAGACGGAGCAGATTCAGTTTCAGCTCAATAAAGAAATACAACAGAGTTTTCTGTCAATAAATACTGAATTCATTTAATAATGAATAAGAGGAGTCTACATTCCAGCAGACACTCCACTTGATGATGTTTATACTCCACGTAAAAAACAACAAACCAGCGCAGGGCCAGACAAACCCCGGTTTATGTCCGAGGGTTTAATCTGGAAAGGCCTCATGAATGGAATTCCACCGCCGAGTTCAGAGGGCTCAACCAGGGAGCTGGCCAAGAGTCAGCCAGGGAATAAACACAAGTTGTACGGCAGCCCCTTCATCTGTTATTACACCGATTAACAGCCAGAGGAATGTCCCCGCTGAAATCCACCGCTGAAAACAACAGCCTCAGCAACACGCCGACCAAAGAGGACAACCATCAGAGCTGGACGAGATCCTAAACTGATGTGATTCCAATCTATTCTGTTACTGCTCCTACAAGACCATGATGATGCTGCAGCTTTCATGTCTGTATTCCCATTTCAATTTTTCCTTTTAATTATCTCCTAAGTATGTCCCAATAGGTTTTTATTATTGCAACAGCTTTTAATTATTTCAGCTTTGTTTCTGAGAAAGCTGGAGGGAGGACACTGGAGGAGCCGAGGATCAAACCGCTGACCATGCGATCAGTGAACGAAGGAAACAAAGATGGAGGCACCGGAGGAAGAAATCAGAAATGTGCTGTCGGCATTTAAATCAAACGTCTCGACTTATTTTGGATTCTTTACCACAGAAGGAAAGAAGGACTTGGATATGACACACGAGAATAAAATACTGTGTGAGTGGACAAACATGAGGGCTCACCTCACACTCTCCAGAGACAGCGTTAGCCGCTGACGGCCAAGCTAACGTTAAACCTGCTCCGCTGCAAAAATAACCAACACTAGAAACACTTAGCTCGACATCAACTGTGAGAGTGAAGATAATAACACAGTCCATCACCTACTTCCTGTGCAAAGATCTGCGTCCATACAGCGCTGTTGAAAACCAAGGCTTTTCTTACACGCTAAAAACATGTGAACCTGGAGACCACTGTCTCACGTCCTCCAAACTAGAGCGGGACATTATCTGACAGAGGACAGACTTGATTCATATTAGCCTGTATAAAAATGTTATATAAAGGAGGGAGACAGAAACAGATCTTATCTCCACAGGTACAACCAGAGCTTCCCTCTGATGGTCGAAAGGTCATTAGTTGGCAAGATTTCATCAGTCGCTTCATTGCAGGAAAAAAACAACAACAAACAAACGTGAAACTCTATCAGGAGCTGCTCCTCGTCAACATAAATCCAAACCTATATGACTGGACCATGTGTGACTTTACTTTGAAAGGACAGACACAGGAAGTGTCCACGCTCAGCAGTCAGACAGGAGTCAGGTTAATATCCAGGGCTGGTACCTGCGGTTATTCCACAGGCTAGTTAATAACATGTCGGGCAGGAAATCCAAAGTGTGGGATCATTTTGAGAAGGTGAAGGACGAACCCAAGGTGATATGTAAACTCATCTTCATTGGTCGACTACAAACATGACGTATCATCTGAAACATGGAAGTAGCTACATGCCCATTAGCCCACAGCGTCATTAACAGGCGGCTCGCTCAGTGTGTGACGTGCACTTGGAGATAAAATATAGGCCTATATTAATGAAGGTTCATTAGTACGGTTTGTATTTCTCTGTAATGTAGCACAATGTTAACAATGTTACTGATACTATTCTTTCTCACACCTTCAACTCAAACCACCAAAATATATCATTTAATCATTACAGTCATATCAGAAACATGCAGGAGACGAGTCCACTGATGGACCCTGATGAGGACTGTTGGTCCACTGATGGACCCTGATGAGGACTGTTGGTCCACTAGGAATGTCCTCAGCTCTAAATACAATGAGAACACCCGTTTGATCTCACGTAACTTGTGGTGTTCATGAACTTGAACACATGAACTGATGTCAGCTGATCTGCTGACTATAATGCTGCAGATCAGAGTGGCACTGCAGATTAATATAACCTTTCATGTTGCTCTGTGGCAGCTAATCTCAGTCACAATGTCAGGTCATGCATTGTAAAGCCACACACACACACACACACACACACACACACACACACACACACACACACACACACCCTTCCTTTGTTGTGGCCCTCTAAGACTCAAACATACATATCTGTACAACAGGAGCTTTAGCGGCTGAAATGACTCTAATTCAGTCTAACTTCAACTCTTATCTCTGGAGCTGTACCTGGGTCAACACACACACACACACACACACACACATAGCCACAACACTGTTATCTTTGTCACAGAGCTGACAGTGAAGCAGTTCAATGTGACTCCAGTCCCTCTGTGGGTCATTAGTCATGGTAAAAGCATATTCTAATCAAAAAGGGATTGGCCTTGTGACTCTGGTCGGGGACAGACCCCAGATCAGTGTAGCCGACAGGATGGAGGGCATTTCCTCTACTAATTAACCCTGAAGAAATCCTGTGAAACACTAGCTGGTCAAAAGGGGAACGACGCTGCCAGATCTGAAATGAACTGGATCTGACTTTCCAAGTGTCAAAGATAAACCATCGAATATGTTTTTTGATTTGATGACAACAGCTTCTGATGCATAAGGAAGACTCTGAAGCAGGAAACAGAGTTGATAGCAGAGTTGATACACACACAGTCAATTGTGGTCCATCAAGAGAGGACCTGCGGCCCACATTTGAACCGTGACCCACCAGTTGGGAACCACTGGCCTAAGGGACTGTTCTTTATTTATCAGAGGAGGGTGGTAGAAGGGGTGTGATTTTTTTTTTTTGACCCTCCCCAAAGCTACAAATATTTTTTCTTGAGTCTCCCTCAGCTCCCTTTGATATTCTAAAGTTTTAAGTTAAAAGACGAAGACAAAATCCTGGAGTTGAAAGAAGCCTCGGATTTTCTCTCTTGTGATGCATGCTGGGTTTTTTTCTGGCCAATATTTTAAATACGACACAGATATTGATTTTGATGATTGATTTTAAGTGATATGTTTATTTGAGTATGTTTTCTTTCTGACAGGAGCATTCGTCGCACACGATGTGTCCAAGAACCGTCAGGAATTTGAAAACTGTCTTTAGTTTCTAGCTGTGATAATCGGTGTCATTTTGGTGATTTTTGAAGAAAACATGTCCTCCAAACCCGCCTGCGAAAAATCTGCGGTAAAATAAACACAAAATACAACCATTTAAATTTGTATGCCCCTCCCCTGAGCCAAAACAAAAAATTTAAATCATCAGTCCCTAATCAGCGCTCGAGAAATTATTTGACATGCCTCCCCGTTTTGCACCCCTCATAAGTAACGAACAGTCCCTAAATCATTCTGTCTGCAGCTTGACTCCATCACACTAATCGGGCCTGGCTATGACCTGGGAGACAGCCCAACTGTTCCAGTGCCAGCCCTGACAAGTACACAACAACAACAACAACAACAACAACACCAAATATTTGAACCATTAATTCAGCAACGTTGCTGAGAGGATAATGAGTTACTCCAAAAAGTGAAGCACAAATGTGCAGCATTTTTATAACTGGCAGGTCCATAAAGAACATAAAAAATGAAAATACACATAACTAATATTATAAATAAATAATACAATAATATAAATAAATGCCAATTACCAATTAATTTTATTTATTTATTTGTTTCATTTTTTAACTAACATATTAACTCAGTTGAAATTCACATTTTCTGTCTTCTTCTTCTTCTTTTTTTTAATTTTTATTTTGCACCACCCCCTCACAAGTAACAAAAAGTCCCTAAATCACCACCAACAACAAATTTTTGGATCATAAATTCACCAATCCTGCTGAGAGGAAAATTATTTACCCCAAAAAGTGAGGCACAAATGTGCAGCATTTCATAACTAGCAGTTCCTTTTTCTCTCAATAAAGAACATATAAGATAGGAACAAATATAAATAATAATATAAATAATAAAAAAGTGCACCACCCCCTAATAAGTAATGAACAGTCCCTAAATCATTGTTTGCAGTTAAACTTTATAAAATATATAAATAATAATATAAACTATAATAATGAAAAACAATAAATAAACATTACAATCACCAATTTGTATCAACTTTGGCGGAAATCTAATTCTCTTTTTTGTTTTCATTTGTTTTTTGTTACTAACTAATTTTCTTTCTTCTATTTTTTAATTCATTTATTGATTAATTTAAATATTAACCACAGTTCCGCGCAGCCAGCCAGTCCGTCTTACCTTCCCAGCTCCTTCCCGGGGATGATGGTGTAGTGGTCGGTGAACGGCTCGGTGCTGATGGTGGTTTTGATGTCGGACAACAAGCCGCTGCCGCCGCGCGCCTGGCTCGGTTCTGTCGCCGGGCTGTGCTGGAAGCGGGTCCGGCTCCTCGAGGTCCCGGCGCGAGGACATTCAGGTATCATGACGTCGCTTTTTAACGGAGCTGTTAGTGACCAAACGTCCGGAGGAGAAGTGTCACACACTGAAACACACTGATATCAAACACCGCAGCTGAGCCGCAACTTCAAACAAGCATCCGCGCGACAGACACAGATCACTGACCGGAAGTGAAACACTTAAAATCATCCGCATAGTTTAATATGGTTTTGAAGAGGCTCATTTTGGTGCTGTGGAGTCTGGACCCGGCTCTCCGTCTGTCAGCGGACCTCAACTCCTCACTGACAAACAAAGTGAAGCGGAGCCGAGCGCTCTGAGCTGCTGATGATTGACAGGTGAGCTGACCAATCAGAAGGCGAGATGATGGAGCGCTGCATTCATATGGAAAACAGGATGAAGCGTTGTTCAGACTGATGCAACCACACAATATTAAACACTGAGCAATTAATTATGAAATAATTAAATTTAATTAAAATATACTAATAATTAATTTAAAATAATAATTATGAAAACAGAGGTTAATTGTTTTAACAACAAATAATTCATCCAATTATTTCTGACATGATTTGTAGTTGCAAACAGGTGCATCACAACAACACAGAAAAAGGATAAACCTCCACAAAGTCTGTCCTGCTCCTTTGTACAAGTGTTGGGGGGTCCTTTTGCATCGATCCTCCTGAGACCCTGTGCCCTCATTAGCACACTTTGAGTTTACTTGACCTTTCATGATGGCCAAATGAAGCCTCATGAAGCATTGTCTTCATTTTCTGAGCCCACTAGATGGCGCTCATGGTTTAAAGAGAGAGGCTCAAAGAATGGCAATTCAGTGTGCTTTCAACTAGTGATGGCCAAATGAAGCCTCATGAAGCATTTTCTTTATTTTCTGAGCCCACTAGATGGCGCTTTTTGTTCAACAAAAGGCTGAAAGCACACTGAATTGCCATTCTTTGAGCCTCTCTCTTTAAACCATGAGCGCCATCTAGTGGGCTCAGAAAATAAAGAAAATGCTTCATGAGGCTTCATTTGGCCATCACTACTTATACTTCACTCCACTTAACTTAGACCTGTTGTCCTCGTTCATGGACACTTTTCTGTACCATCTAGTGGCAGTAAGAGCACAATACTAATCGATGTAAAAACAAGATGGCAGCCATCTCTGCCAAGTCAGTCTGCAGCTGATCCCGACACAAAAGACGACAAGGTCCAAAACCTGATCACATTATGGTTGAAACTTGTTTAGAATAGAAGAGAATAGAAAGAACTTTAATTTTCCCCGAAGGGAAATTCAGACCCATTGTGTCTATCGCACCGACCAGTGGGAATCAGAATCGCAATCAGAAATACTATATTGATCCACGAGGGGAAATTGAGAATTTGCTGAATTCGCATCTAATCACATCTTCACATGTAATTTGCTTGCGCCAATTGTTTTATTCGCGCCCAGTGTGTAACATTAACATCTTGTTTCAATGCATTGTTCTGCTGGGAAACCTTTGGTTCTGGCATTCATGTGGATGCTACCTGATGTGCTCCACCCACCCGAACACTGTTGCAGACCAAGTAAACCCGCTTATGGCAATGGCACTTGTGGAGGTGTTGACCTGGCCTCCAAATATCCTTGATCCCAATCTGACCCGACATTTAAGGGATGTACTGGTGCCAAAGAGGTACCCCCGATCCGCGGTGGGTCTTCTTTGGACCAGACTTGGCTCTGACCTTTCAAGGCATGAACATAGGACCTCTGGAGGGTGTCCCTTGGTGTTTGGTGCCAGGGCGTTAGCTTTAGGTCTTTTAAGTCCTGTGGGTTGTGAGGTGGGGTACCAGCACGTCCCACAGATGTTTGATCAGACTGGGATCTGGTGTTTGGAGGCCAGGTCGACACCTTGAGCTTTGTCACGTTCCTCAGACCATTCCTGAGCAGTCTTTGTGGTGTGGCATGGGGCATTGTCCTGCTGGACTGTCCTTGCCCAAAGTTTCCCAACAAAACATTGCACTGTTTGATGATCAATGTTGTTCACCTCACCTGTCAGTGGATTTAATGTTTTGGCTGATCGGTGTATGTTTACTTTACATAAACTATAAAACCACAGATGAGCTATAAAAAAATATTCATCTGAATGAATATTTTATTTGGTATTTTTGTCACAAAAAAATTTGCTCTGATCATTTCTGGGTAACATGTACGTTGATGTCATCCAGTGTCAAGTCGTGGCTACTTCAGATGTGAAATCTCAAACTGGGCTCCGTCCTAACTACCATACACCACTGCTCCATGTCTTTTATTTTCTGCTACAGTCCGTCCAACATAAAAACCCAAAAGCAGCGAAGTAACAAAGTGAACTTTTTATTGAGATTCATAAACAGTTGTATGGTGTGGTGGAGCGATAGCACAGCCTGAGTATTTAGCAACCCGTTCTCAGACAGATCAGAACTGAACCTTTCAACATTATGTACATTACAGCGTGTGTGTAATCCACACACACAGAAACAAAACAAAAAAATATGCATGCTTCAGTGTCCATCCAGTCATTCACATAGTCCCTTTGTTAAATTCCTTTCTTTTTAAAAATTAAAATAAATAGCTTAAAAAACACAAACACCAGACAGCTGCTACAATTTGCCACCACCTTACCTTTCTGTAGACGTCCCATGATTCTTTACTTCTCCAAAAGCTTATGGAAATATTTCTATAATAGCTGTTGTCGATGAACTCTTATATCAGTTTATTATGGGAGTGTTGTGAACCATTTCTTTTCCAGAAGTATGTGTTTAAGATCTACAATGTATGTATTCAAAATATCCAACCAATAAAACAAAGACCTCTGTACAGTCTTTCCATTTTCAACAAATTACATACAGAAATTTGTGTTTTTTAATGCATGTCATTTGTTGCCGTAAACTGCCTGAAGCACTTGCTGGATTCATGCGGCTCAGAAATTTATGACACAGTGAGATATCCATGACGTGGAAGAAAAATCCTTACATAACCTGACGACGCCACCGGAGGAAGTGGTGAACAGAAAGAGAAATATACATGGAAACAGAACTGAGCTCCACCGCAGCACATTTCCTACACCGAGTGACAGAAAACCAGCCAGCTTTAGAGATAATAGAAAAGACACACATATCAAAACGCAAAGGCTTCAAAGTGAAGGCATACTCTTTGACTGATGCTTCTTATCTTATCATCAAAAAACTGCAAACAAACAAAAAGTTTGAGGAAAGCTTCAGGATTTCCCCTCACTTATAAATACAATACAGTATAAATAACAGTACAAAAGATTGTAGAAAAAAAAATACAGGGAAGATGCAACATAATCACAGCCTTGTCCTCTTGGTCGTCGAGGTGCGTGGGTAAGGCCTCGCCGAGGATGACTAAAGTACTTCTGATCTGACTGCCTGTACAGTGAGTTTACCAGGAGAGTAGGACGGTTATCTAATTCTAATCATTCTTAAATTTACTTAGACTAATCATATACGTAGAGGTCTAAACGTCTGCAAGAACTAATCAGCAAAATCCTGTAATTCTGTGCCCCAAAGTGAAAAATTCTGTAGCCAGCAAATAAATCAGATAAAGCACCATTTAGGACTTTCAAATGAAAATAAGAGAAGTTTTACGAATTCAACTGTTGTTGCAGAAATTAGTACCAGATTGTGTCATGAAATCTGACAGGCTGCTGATGGTTAACGGCGGTCAAAAGTTCAGCTGTGGCCGAATCCTGTGGACGTGTGTGCAACACTTCGAAGGTCGCATCTTAGACCTACTTAGACTACTACTTAGTCCTGTTCAAGGCCAGGGGCTGGAGCCTATCCCAGCATGCATTGGGTGAAAAACAGGGAAGGATATTGTTGTCAATCTCTCTCAAAGCTAACAGACAAATGCGTTTAACACTGTACACCAACTGTGTCAAGGGTACCATATCTAAACCCTAACGCCAGATAAGAACAGATATTGGACGATCCTGTGAACCCCAGATAAAGTTCAATGATTATGCTTTTTTTAACATCCAATGGCAACAATCTGCCAAATTAACAACATCTGCACATGGCAGCCATGGTATGGATTGTCATCATGGAAAATTGACAATGGTTCAGGTGTGGTTAGGGTTGGGCAACCAAAGCTCTTTTAAAGTAGAGTGGCGCTGACATTTTTGTGGAGGCCAACCCGGAAGTTGACATCAGTCTAGTTCCCTCGTCAAAAAGCCATCAGGATTTTTCAACTGATGGATGGTGTGTGGATGAATGAATTTAACATGGAGTGTAAAAGAGCTTTGAGTGGTTGGAAGACTCAAAAGGCGCAAGTCCATTTACCCTTTGAACAAAATACACCATGGTCTCATGACTTCAATGTCACCACCACAACTAGGCTGTAGAGCCAGGTTCGGCGTGATGACGTCCTGTAGTCTCATTTAGCCACTTGAAAGCAAAGACAAGGGGTACAAGTGGGTCAGCAGGAACCCATCTGAGGCATAGTGACGTATTTTATGCCATAGAAATGAGAAAGTCTCTTAAGCTTGTGCTAACCACAGACCTTATTTCAGGCACCTAACCAGAAACTCATTTAAAAAAAAACCCATTGACTTCAAGACGAGGGAACCTGAAGTGCAAAAATGCTAACTCCTTGCTCTTCATCTCTGCTTCAGACTAGAGGCTGGAGGCTACATTAGCTACTACTAGCCTTACACACCCAACTCTCCAACTGAACTATAGAGTGGTGCAGGAATGAGAACAGTCTACAAAGATCTGGAAAGCTGGCCTCTTTCTAACTCCACACCTGGGGCTGGGTATCATTACTCGATACCTCGAAGGTATCGACCGAGTAACAATGAGTATCAAAACTTCTCCAATCAAAGGATACCTGGATGATCATTTTTGCACCATAGTCTGATCACGGACAGTCCTGACTCCTTGATACTATTCTATATATACTATATATATCCAATTTACTACATGCCACTCCATTCACATTATGGGTATCGAATGAAGTACACGATTGGTATATTGGTATCACTTGAAGGTTACTGGTATCATAATTTACCCAGCCAATGCCCAGCCCACACCCCAAGTTTTTATATTCAAACTTCATACCCTACCCTGACTCAAGTGACATCATTTTAGGACATTTATCAGACACTCTGGAGACACTAGTGGGCTTTATAGAGCTTTTTTCCCCCACCTAAACAGCAGACATCCCCAAAACATGGAAACTCTCTGTTGTATAAGATTAGTGGAGTTCCCCTTTAATCAAACAGATCATCCAATGGTTGCAATGACAAACTATGTGGCTACACCTGGGAGAAGTGAAGATAATGTCTGCGGCTTTGAGAGATGAACGCTTCTATACCTTTTCAACACCTGGCTTAAATGTGTCGGACCTCAATCCAGCTTTAGTGCTCCTTGGTTGCATTTATACTTGGCTTGTTTGATATCAGATAGCTAACTGCCCAAGACGCATGAGGTGGTGAAGTGTAAATGGGCTATCAAGAGTCTCTGATGAACCTGACCTGTGTTTAAAGCGTGAGAGGAAACCCACACGAACACTGGGAGAACATGCAAAGTGTTTTCAAAAAGAACCAAGGCAAATATCTGAACTCAGGACTTTCCTTATGTCAGGCTCAAGTACTAACCACAAAGCGCCACAACCCCATGGGCCACTTATGAGGCAGTAAGTCACTGAGGCACAGTTCCATTACCGGACTACAGATGTAGACAAGGGGCTGGGAATGCTGAGGGTACACCGCGGTCAGTCATTGTCTGAGAGAACATGGTAGACTGTGGAACACATTGGAGTAAAGGTCTTAACTATTGCATATATTACACTGGTTTGTCCAAGGGTTGCTGTACACATTACAAGTATATACCACAAGGGACGGACCGGTTCAGGGAGCCGATCCAGTGATCCCAGGCCCTTGGAGACCTACATGCTGCTTTGCACCAGTCACATTGTCTGAGACAGTAAAGGTTTGAGATGGTGGAGTACCTGCTCCATACAAAGAGCAACACCACGGTGGAGGTACACAGTCAGAGAGAACGAGTTCACCGGTGGAGGACTTGAATAAGGGTACAAGCTTCTCCCATTCAAACAGCAGGATCACTAAAGGTGAAGTACTGCTCGGGCTGAAAGTATTCATAGAACGTCCCCTTCAGTCAGCTGGAGACAGTTTCCATGTGTGCATTCTTTGTCATGAAGGAATAACAAACTTCCTGTTTGCCTGGTCACCATGATCCCCCCTCAGTCTCCACAGAAGGAATCCCAGGAGCCCTTGAGTTGGCATTGATGGCTACTTTGATAGAGGAGACGTGACATCATTGTCTCTGCCTTTGAAAGCATGGCAGAGCAAGAAAGCTTGGAGAGACTGTCGGGAGTTCTTTGTCAGTAACACCGCTGTCCATCCAGAGGGGAACATGAAAGGTCTGCGTCCAGCTACTGTCCTCACTTTGGACTGAACCAGACGGAGACAGAGAATAGGATGGCGCAGGTCCGGATGTAGGCCTTCCTGGACGATACAATACTTCTTGAGTATCCGAACTGGATAAAGTATTGTAGCAGTTGCTGACACTTGAAGGGGATATACCACACCTTTTACCTGGATTTGCTGTCTGTATCTGAATTATACCAAAGGCCAACTGTTAATGAAGTATCCCTACATTCCTCTTTCCACTGTCAGACCTTTCCTATTCCTTAGCAAAAGAAAGACTTTCAGCACTTCTCTCGTGTCTCTGTTCATCACAGAGAGCTTGTTGAAGACATTGACATTGCTTGAAAAAGAAACATAATTGCTATAGTTATCTGAGAGTATAACAAGACAATGTGTGTGGTTGGCTTCAGTATTATTGACATGGATGTATCCCTTCAGTGTTCCAGCTCCTTTACGGCCAGTAAGTCATTGAAATCCTCATAGTTCCTCAGGGCTCAGATTTAGGCTCTATTTTCTTATAATTTTACAGGGCTCTACCTGCACTTAATAAATCATCTGCATATATTTTGACTTCACATTTAGCTTGAAATCACCTTGCAAAGTGCAGGAATCCTTCATCGCCCTCTTTTGTCATGATTTCTTGAACTTCAACCCAAAAGCTAAGTGGTCTAAAAATGTCATCCATCCTTCAGGCTCCTGTTGGTTCTGCAGCTCTAACTGGAGCAAACAGACAATATAAGCATCTTTACATTAGTTACAGTTTTAGATGTGATTGTAAGGTTCAACTGATCGCCCCTGAAGCCTTTAAATGGCTGGTGTCTGGCACAAAGCTACATTGCATTTCTTTAATTATTTATGTACCAGATCCCAGTCTCAGATCCTCAGGCAGGTTCCTACTGGAGGTAAAATACCTAATGATCACAATGAAGTAGGCTCTCCAGATTAGAAACCAGTCATGATTGTACCTTTGGCACTGGGGCTAACAGAGTTTGCGACCATCTGAGGAGCTTTTTAAAATCTGCAACCTTTAACTTTGTTAAAGCCGTATTTATAGATTCATCTGAACTGAACAATTTTCATTTAGGCAAACCTGAAGCTTTGTCGTGTATGTGCACTGTTTGCATTATTTGTGCAGTCGTAGTCTCTGTCTATATTTCTCTTAGCTTTCTGTCTGACTTGATTCTTCGTCTTTACAGTATATGAGCACACTGTAGGTTTTATCATGCCTCACTCTTGTCATTAAAATCCTTTCTGTGACTTCAAAGTTTCAACCCAGGTGTAAGCATAAATTTAAAGATAAATTCCAACAAGATCTCAAGTATTTAGCGATCATAATAATGTGTTAAACTTTACGTAAAGGCCTTGTTTTCAGAATCTTCTATAACTGTATTTTTTCATCATCGGATGGATGATCATTTTGGTACGTGCAACTCTGATTGATCTATATATCTGTTGTAGTGTTACTTGTTCTCCAGTCTTTATGATTACAACAAAAATAACCATAGTCCTGCTGTGGTGTACGAAGTGCTGGGTGCAGTCATAAAGATCCTCGTAGCTAGGTGAGAGACTCTAACACACAGTACCGTAACAGTGACGTACATCCACATGACCAAAAACTTTGTCGAGTACAATCCAGGTATCTTTACGACGAGTTAAGCCCACAGGAGCTGCTTTGTTCCCCCCCGCATTTTAACCCACTCAGTGTCACATGGAGAGGGACGCAGTGTTGATTTGTCTGTCTCGTCTGTCTCACTCCAGGCCGAACGTGCTGGTTTCCTCCACCGCGATCAGCAGTTTCTCATACAGCATGGTGTATGAAGGGTACGGAGGCAGGTCCAGACGGTTAAAACAGGTGTGAGCCCTGAGACAGAGAGAGAGGCAGGATGTTAGAGAGTGTGGAGAGTCATGGCGAGAAGAGTAACTGAAGCTCACATCACATTATACGTTTGTTTTGTTTGTTTTAATTCCCCTCGACAAGGAGGATCAAGGACACCAACACAAAGACGTACACAGGAGTGACATGCTGATGAATCTGCAGCATCTGACAAACGCCTCATGCCAGAGAGCAGTGCTGTTACACACAGCCGTTCAATGTTAGGCTTCATTAAATCACCTGGAAACAACACCAGGCAGCTACAGTGGACCACACAGACCCTGACACACACCAGACTGGCTGGCTGTAATTCAATGTTCGGCTTTTTCATGAAGGAGTTCGGTTACCAGGGTTCATCATAGCCTCTTTACCAACTTTCTTTTTAGCACGTTTTATCCTTGACACACATTGTAGTGCAAACTCTGGTGAGAAACAATTACTAAACTATGTGCCTATGTATGTGGTGAGATTGATGAGAATTATTGACAACTGGTTTTCAAACTCTGGCACTCCCTGCTCTGTAGTGAAACCTGAGCTCTGCTCTTTGTGTCTGCCGAGCACGCTTACACGTTAACTGCTGTTGTTTAATTATTTCACCGGCCACCTTGCACTTTTGTGCCAAGGGAACAACCTGCTGTGTCTGAGGGGCGGAGCACTCAACTCAAATGTATTTATAAAGCACATTTAAAAACAACTCATGTTGCCCAAAGTGCTGTACAAAAGGAATAATCTCTAAAAACACACACGAGAGGCAACATAACTGCCAGGTACACAGCTCACACATTCAGAGACACAACACACAGACACAAGTCAGAGAAAACCACGTCAGGGGGACACAAACGCTAATGAATAAAAGTATGTTTTGAGCCTGGACTTAAACGAGTCAATGGTGGGAGGGGATCTGATTGGAAGGGGGTGACACAGCACAGACACAGACACAGCAAAGGCACGATCACCCCTAAGCTCAAATCTGTAGCGTGGGACAGCCAGGAGCCCCAGGTCAGCTGACCTGAGGGACCTGGGCGTAGAGTAAGGGGTTTTGGAGGTCTGTGATGTGGGACAGGGCCAGACCATTTATGGCCTTGTAAACAAACAGGAGAACCTTAAAATCAGTGTGAACTTTACAGGCAGCCAGTGGAGGGAGGCTAAAACCGGGTACCTGTGAGGAGTAGTGACGGCCAAATGAAGCCTCATGAAGCATTTTCTTTATTTTCTGAGCCCACTAGATGGCGCTTTTTGTTCAACAAAAGGTTGAAAGAACACTGAATTGTTATTCTTTGAGCCTCTCTCTTTAAACAATGGGCGCCATCTAGTGGGCTCAGAAAATAAAGAAAATGCTTCATGAGGCTTCATTTGGCCATCACTAGTGAGTAGCATGGCAGCGGTGTTCTGAGGCAACTGGAGGCGGGACAGAGACGACTGACTAATACTGGTGTACAGAGAGTTACAGTGGTCCAAACGGTAAGAGATGAGAGTGTGGGTGACTACGTCCAGGTCTTTGAGGGAGAGAAATGGCTTGATTTTGGATATGGGGCGGAGCTGCTTTCATCAAGCAGGCAGCAGGCCTTTGACTTTTAAGAACAAAGTAATGAGAGTGACACCGTGTGAACAGGGTTAGATACCTGGGTAGTGATGTAACTTTGCCCCACTTCTCGATGCAGAATCGTCGCAGTCCGTTGGATCCCCGCAGTGCGGCGAAGCCTTCGTAGGGCACGCTGGACGTCCCGGTGACAAACTGCAGCAGGCGGAGACGCTGCTCGTTGTTGAAGCGCTCCACGGCAGCCCAGAACCACCGCATCACTATGTGACCATCATGGTAACCTGGTGATTGGGAATCAGGGAGTTAACATGTAAGAGGATAAACTCAAGGAAGGGGCTCAACACGTTGAGCCAACTCTCGAGCAAGCAGCTGATTAGCTTAGCTTAGCACGAAGACTACAAATATAAACTGGAAAAACAACATGTCATGGTTTTGTGGGTGTTATTTGCTGGACCCCTGTCTTTGATGTGCACAGGGACTTTCTTGAGACACACACACCTCCTCTGTACTCAGTGTTGGTCCTCCAGTCACTGAGGTCGATCTCAACTGTACCAGCGATAACTAGCTCCAGCTCCCGCGCGTCAAACACAGACACCAGCCTGGAGTCGACCACCTGAGATGGAGAGAAACAACCAGCAAATGTTTCAGTTGCCTTGACATCGAGTCATAACTGCAATGTGACGCGAGCGAGCATCAGAGACTGAGGGGCTGTACACATGCCGTGTTTCTTGTTCCCTAAAATTCATCGTTTTCAATGCAGACGCATGGCAAGCGCGCTCAAACGCCAGAGTGACACCATCACACGTGCACATGTTATGGTGTCACCAGAGTGACACCATCATGCGTGCACACATTCCCAAGGGCCTATTTTTTAGGGTGCGATGGCTGCACCGTGTTTATTGAGTTGAAGTCAACATTGGCAGCAGAGGATGGTTCAAAGATGGCTGCAAACTATAAAGTACCGCTGAAGTTTGACGAGACCAGACCATACAAGTGTTGGACAAATGAAGTCAACATTTGGATGTGGGTTATTGAACTCGACAAGAAAAAGCAGGTGCTAGCGGTTACATTGGGGCTTTCAGGAAGAGCCAAATCGCCATGGAGATATCCGCAGATAAATGGGACAGTGACAACGGTATGGCGACTTTATTAGCTAAACTGGATGGTGGGTTTCTGAAAGAGGAAACGGCTGTGATACAGTGCTTCTTCAGAATACTTCTCAGTAACTTCAGACACATCCTGGATGTAACAAGAAACTGTAATTTGTAATTAAATGTAACTATAAAAGGTCAATACTGAAATGTGAAACTAGTTGTAACTTTCTAATAATGTTGATAAAATCATTTTCTGGTGTTATAAACCATCTGAGAACGTAAACAGCACCTCATAGAAGCCTCTAACCAGCGCCTCTGTCTGCTGCACCACTCCTCTCTCCACCCTCCACTTGGCCATTCGCTCGATATAATCCTTCTTGTTCTTCTCAGTCACCTGGAGGTTGGCGCCGCCCGACTTCAGCTCCCGCTCTGTCACCTAGAAACACAGGAAGTACTGGGTATAATTAGTTTTCTAGACATTTTTAGATGCACATAAAGGCCAAAAAACATCTCAACTTTTTAGCGCAAGGCCCAGAGTGGCATAGTTAGTCAATGTGACATTTGGCCCAGGCAGCCAATCAAATCAAAGGCAGGATTTACTACTGTTTTGATGCTGGGAGATTTGGTAGGAACAGTGGAACAATGGCAAACGCAGAAAAGCAGTGATCAGTTATGATGAAGTTCACCCAATTAGTCAAACACTAATAGGTGAACGCATGCACCAAGAGACAGAGACCACATGTGGGCAGGAGACCACCTCATGCTAATTTGCCCAACGCTCGCTGCCAAGGTGTTTTTGTAGTTTCCGCGCCTGTACGGACATGTTGGCGTGATCAGGGTCCGTCATCTCAGCACTATATTGAAGGCTTGTCATTGTGGAAATACATATAGTATTGATATCGTTAAGGACATGCTGATCATCATCATAGCTGATGCGGTCAGCCACAGTGACAAACACTGCAGAAACGCACACACAAACACACACACACTGACCTGGCCAAAGACCTCCTCATTGACGGTGAAGGTGAGGTCCAGGATGTCAGTGATGTCGTTGTCTTTCATCCACTGCAGAGACTGGTGGAACTCCTCGTCCAGATACTCCAGGTCAGACAGGTCAGTCGGCCTGAAGGAGACACACAGAGCTCATATACAACACATACAACCCACAGATCTACACAGTGTCAGTCTGTCGGGACAACATTTGAAATGAAATAAAATAAGTAGAAAAGACAAAAGACAAAGTTCTCATGCGTCTGCAGAACAACAAACATAGTGTGTGTGTGTGTGTGTGTACTGACAGTCTGAGCAGTGCCTTGTAGAAGGGTCTGGTGAAGAAAGCATCCAGCAGGTACTGATGGATCAGAGCCAGGCCCAGGATACGACCACTGAAACGGAACCTGGACACACACGCACATACACAGAGGAGGCAACAACAGAATAAGACAAAATGACACATGGACAAGTAAAACGAGCCGACTGGCCTGATACCAAACAGTTTTCTCCAAAGTCACTTTTATTCTTTGGAACAACACTATTGACATTACTGTCATTCTGCTAAAGGGCATGAAACTAGTATTACATCACATTTTCTTATAGATATATGTCCTTTTTACCGCTCTCTATCACAGACCAATATCAGTCTTTACGTCATATCACATAATCTATGAACCTTAACAGCCAAAAACTAGTGATGGCCAAATGAAGCCTCATGAAGCATTTTCTTTATTTTCTGAGCCCACTAGATGGCACTCATGGTTTAAAGAGAGAGGCTCAAAGAATGGCAATTCAGTGTGCTTTCAACCTTTTGTTGAACAAAAAGTGCCATCTAGTGGGCTCATAAAATAAAGAAAATGCTTCATGAGGCTTCATTTGGCCATCACTACCAAAAACCTCTCAGTTATAAGCACATCTTTAGGGCTGTACACTTTGATGGTACTTTCTAACATATTTGTTAAAAGCCTAATCTGCAATCAAGTACAACTCCATCTCCCTGTTGTAGTTTAGACGACCAATATTCCAACTGAACTTCTGTACTCGAGGGAACATTGTCAGTAATCTGCAGTCCTTCAAATTGTAGAATCAACGAGTGGTGTCAACCGTTTCAAGGCATTGTAGTGACTCAATCATATTTATAGTTACATATAATTATTGATATAAAGTAGTAAAAACTTTGGTCTAAATGTCTGAACAGACCAGGTCATGGTACTCCAGTCTGTCAAAGGTGTACTGCGTTTTTTATTAAACTGAGGCTCTGTACTGAACGACTACAGTAAATGAATAAACACACAAAGTGTTCCAGCAGGTCCAGTGCACAGCAGGCGGTTAGATATCAGCTACACTGTCCTGACTGGTTGAAATAAATCTTACAAACACAGCAATAATGAACACTTAGGTGCAGATGAGTTGCAGAATATTTCACAAAACACTGATTCTTTGTGTGTGTGTGTGAGTGTGTTGTTATTGCACAGCTTACCATTCCAGATGGTTCTCAACAAACGCTGACATGGGGCTGATTTGAACGGTGTATGTATCGTTGGCAGAGTATTCAAACAGGCCGTAGTACGGATTAAACAGCTCCTGAGACAAGAGGAAGAAGAACTCTCTGGATGGACCACTGTAGTCCAATCTGAGGAGACAGACAGACACATTTGGACAGTTAAACTGATGATACAGAATAGAATAGAATATCTTTATTGTCATTGTATCAGGTACAACGAAATTTCAGTGCAGTCCTTGACAGTGCAAAATGAGCTAATAAATAAATAGTAAAAAGAGAAGACAAGGAACACAATACATTCAGCTCTAGTTTGGTCTCCTGAGAAAATATCTGTCTGTTTAGCTGCTAAATGTTCCACTGTGTTCACCAACTAGTCTCTAACTGTCTGTTTAAGTAGTGTACAGTGAGTTTATCTGAAAATCTGTCGAAGCATCTGTACATGAGTGTCCGTTGCACGCTGCTGGAGACGAGGTTGATGAGAGCAGAGGTGCTGGGCAGAAAAGCAGAACAATGAGCTCAAAGAGTTAAAAGATACCAGAGCTGGGTGACAGTTCTGTAACAGTGACTGTATGTACAGATGGACGTGACAGCGCCTCAGAGTGAAGCCAAAACATCTTGGTCACCCCCTGGTGGCTGGCTGCAGTACAGGTCATAAACTCTGCCCCCTCCATGTCAGCAGGTGGAACATGGACCAAACTAAAAAATCCAAGTACAACTCAAATAAAATTTTGCCTTATCACACTAATGTTTTTTCAAGTGTTCGTTTTTCTGATAGGTTTGGTTTCTGGATATTTGATACTTTAAAAATAGCGGGTTGTCCTGACTGACAGCTGTGTCAGTCAGTTTCCTTGGGATCAGTGGAGCGGATCGCAGCTGGGTCGGGCTGGTGTTTGGGCTGAACCTCGATACTGCTGCTCCACTTCCTGGTCACTACTGCGCAGACTCTGGCACAAAAAGCACAAGATTGCTGCTAAGTAGTGATGGCCAAATGAAGCCTCATGAAGCATTGTCTTAATGAGCCCAAAGAGAGGGGCTCAAAGAATGACAATTCAGTGTGCTTTCAACCTTTTGTTGAACAAAAAGCGCCATCTAGTGGGCTCAGAAAGTAAAGAAAATGCTTCATGAGGCTTCATTTGGCCATCACTAGATTGCAGCAGCCATATTTCGGATACTTTGGCTTAATTTTTGTATTTTTGTATCCATCATTTATATAAAAACATTTATTAGTGCAGCATGTTGTAAATAGAGCAAAAAACAACCATGGTGGCAATTTCAATCACATAATTTTGGAGTTTAGAAGCTTAGGAGAACATCGTGACGTACTACACTGCTACACCTTTAGCTGTGTTACATCACTGGTTATGTTTGTGTGTGTTTGTGTGTGTGTGTCTCACCCCTCCTCTCCCAGGAAAGTGACGTAGAGTTTGTTCCTCTGCAGCTCTTTGCGGGAGTACGCCATCACCTGGTTGAAGGTTCCCTCCAGCAAGTGTTCTCTCCTGATCAGCAACCTATAACAACCAGGATGGCTCACATGTTAGTGGTACATTCCCCATGCGCGTTGACAGGACTTTAGAAACAAGCCTCTACTGCACTGCCTCTAAAAATCTTGACTAGGAACCAAAAGGAACGTCTAAAAAATCTTTTAACGAGTAGGATTTTTCACGTCTTATTTACTCAACTGTTCAGTTTCTATACATTTTATTTTCCAATGTGTTCGTCTACATGAAGTTTCAAAGTGTCCTGTGCAAGAGCATGGATATGATCCTGGTGGGGTAATTGTTCATTCTTAAAAGTATTTGAATTTAAATATATTCTCACAACTTTATAACCTCCCCGTCGTCAGTGGTAGCTATGGCCCAGTTGCCGTAGGCCAGAGTCCTGCCGGGGCCGGGTAGCCAACAGGAGACCCACAAACTAATCTACTTTCCCTGCTACAGTATAACAACACAGTATTATGGGCTGTCGACCTTTCACCTTCACTTTGATGGTACTTTACACGTGTATACACCGATCAGACAAAACATTAAAATCACCGACAGGTAAAGTGAATAACAGTGATTATCCTGTTACAGTGCAATGTTCAGCTGGGAAACCTTTGGTGTTGGCATTCAATGAGATGCCACCTAGCACACTCTCAAGTCATGGCAACAGCACTTCCAAATGGCAGTAGACCCTCAGCAGGACAATGCACCATGCCACACAGCATAAACTGTTCAGGAAACGACCTGAGGAACGTGACACAGAGCTCAATGGGATGTGCCAGTACCCCAGATGTAACCTGTCGAGGCATGGACACTGGACCTCTGGGGGTGTCCTGTGGTGTCTGGCACCAGGGCATGGGGGTGCGAGGTGGGGTACCAGCACGTCTCACAGATGCTTGATCAGATCAAGATTTGGTGAATTTGGATGCCAGGTCGACACTTTGAGCTCTTTGTCACGTTCCTTGGACCATTTTTTATGTGTGATTTGAGTCTTACTTGATCTTTCCAGGTCCCTGCCCGTAGCCCTTGGCTTCTAATTTCCTGTAGAAGTTTCTTAGTTTGGCTTCAAAGTCTCTGCGGTAAGGAGCTGGAGCTCTGGCTCTCTGCAGGCCTACACACACACACACACAAAACAGAGAACAGAAATAAATACAGAAAGAAAGTACAATACATATGAGTAGTTAAAATGGAACACTGCGAAAGATTTTTGTATAAAATGAAAGAGTGAGATTGAAAGTAGTAATATCAATAAAATCTTAACGATACCCATCCCTGCTTTTGACCACCAAAATCTAATCAGTTCATTCTCGAGTCTGAGTGAACATTTGCGCCAAATTTGAGGAAATTCCCTCAAGGCGTTCCTGAAAGATCATGTTTACAAGAATGGGATGGACGGATGGACAACCCTCTGGCCACGGCTGTCGCCAGCGCGGAGGCTCATATATAAAAAAGATCCAAGAGTCAGAGAGGGTTGAGTGACCTCTGCAGGACGTTTCTGACAGTCAGACGGACTGATGTGGAAAACTTCAGCTGAGCTTCATACAGAAAATAACACAACTAATGAATGAGGCACAATTACAAGCCAGGCTTCCCTGCTGTGACCCAATTTCCTTTTATAGACCCCCCCATCAATAACATGCGCACACACACACACACACTGGCCTGCTTGAGGCCTACTGGAGCTCATTAAGATAACATTAGTGCACCCTAACAGAGCACAGCAGGCTCTGTCAAACAACAATGATTACCGTTATAAGGTTTCACTGTGTGTGTGTGTGTGTGTGTGTGTGTGTGTGTCTACCCACTGAGTGCTTCAGATAGCATACTTGATTCATGTGGACCTCCTCTGTCAACAGAGCATCCACTTCACTTGTGTACGTGAGTACCTACAATCCAGTTCTGTCAGAACTGAAGCAGCCTCTTGGATGAGAGGTGAAACGTCAACAAACTCAAGCAAGTCCAGCTGCCTACGATACAGAGATTGAGATTACCATGACCTGGATGACTGAGAACCTTCACCAATGAGAGTGCCTACAGTGTGTGTTAGATTTTGGGCAGATAATAACACACGTGGAGGTGAGGGATGTGTTTAGAGCCAGGGGGAAAAAGTCTAGAAAACCTCTGTATCTGCCATCTTACCTTCATTCAGTTTGTATGTACCTGCTCCCTGACCACTGCCCATTATGGACACCATCATGTATGAAATAAACTATAATGTTCTGTGTATGTGAGGTTAATACTGATGTATAACGTTGGCTGTTGAACACGTGGTTCTGAACAATAAAAACAACACAGCTACAGCTGGCTGCAGAGATCACACATTACCAAATATTATGGACAGTCTGCACTTCTGCAGGGTTCACCAAGTTCATTTCAATAATTTTTAGGACCTTTTTAAATAGAATGCAATTAAATATCTATCTCACGATCACACCAGCCAAAGTATGACTATATGATGGGAAACCACCAGGGACTACATGGCCTAGAATCAGTTGTTATATCACAGTTTTTCCTTCATCCACTATCTGTAACGGCTTATCCTGTTCAGGGTCACGGGGGGGTGGAGCCTATCCCAGCTGACACTGGGTGAGAGGTGGGGTTCACCCTGGACGTCTGAAAAACTGTAAATCAGAACGTAAGTACAGAGAGTTGCTGACTAGAGATGATACACAGTCTCATCTAGTTGCACTGGTGTGAAGCAGCAGGTTTTTAGAACGTTGCAGAACGGCACGTTGCAAGTAGTTGCCTGTTTCCAAGTCGTCTCAATGCCACTATGTGGTCTGAAGTGGGCTTACTTAGTGATGGCCAAATGAAGCCTCATGAAGCATTTTCCTTATTTTCTGAGCCCACTACATGGCGCTTTTTGTTCAACAAAAGGTTGAAAGAACACTGAATTGCCATTCTTTGCTCAGAAAATAAAGAAAATGATTTATGAGGCTTCATCTGGCCATCACCACTTTCGTGAGCTGCTTTCTAAAATGTCAGAGAAAGGTCGGTGAGCTCACTAAGCTGTTGCTGTATTGTTACAAAATGGGATAAACTAGTAAACGTCTCAGATGTTTGTAAGAGCGCCACACAGAAATTGTCTGTCATGGCAGCCATCAGCTCACGTCAGCAACGACAGGGTGCGATCCGAATTGCATACTTTTTCATTGTGCTTTTAGTAGGTACTACAGCTGCCTTTACAAAGTACATACTATTGCATACAGTTGACACAATCAGGACATACTACTTTCTCATAACATCACGCCCTGAACTTTGATCCTCTTGCTTTCATATCCATTTTAAATCTTCCATAGAATGGTCCTGTATAATTTCTAGATCAGATTTACATTATACAGGAAGCTTTAAAACGAGACTGTCCCCTGTTACGTAATGTATGCACGTTTTCATTGACACCCATCACCTTTCTGCAGTAACAAGGAACTTTACATTCCAGGGAGGTTTGATGTGACGTCTCAGGCAAAGCAACTGTGAACTCCAAACATGCGTGACTGACATGCTGGAAGACGTACCAGGAGAGTTCTGCGGTGAGGAGGCGGGGGAACAGCGAGGAGAGAAGCTGAAGCCGGGGTGGATGGGGTGAGGCGGAACATAAGACATGATCTCCTCTTCAAATAAGCTGCGAGAGCAGGACACAGAAAAGCACAGAAGACATTATTTCTCTGCACCACAGAGAGTCTGAGCATTAGCTGTGTGTGAATTCAGTCACTGAATGAGCGAGTACATAACTGTGAAAGAAAATAGATGTTGTTGCCCGCGATGGGTAAACTAAAGTGTGTGCTTTACCTTAACAGGATGACGAGGTCTGCATCACATGACAACTTCTCCACCCCCTGAGTTCCTTCTGTCCGAATATAGTGGATCTTCTCCCTGAACAGTCAACAAGACAAAGACCTTTTTAGTCCCAAATACTCAATGCAACTAAATACGTGAGTTTGGTAGTGAGATGCCTCCTCCCTGACCTCTTGAGCTCTGTTATCAAGAAATATCAGCTTTAGGCAATCTTCACTATCAAAAGAGCCTTTTCTGGCCCCAAAAAATCTGCATGGAGCTGCAAAGTATATTTGAGCCCTATAATGAAGGTAACTAAATTAGCCTATCAACAATAATAATACGTCTAAATAAGCATCCATTTAGGTTTTACCAAAAAGGTGGCGACTCTGCAGTGGGCTATTTATGTTTATTTGGTATTTTAGTTTTGCAGCATTGGCGGTAAAAGCAAACAAATCTCTTCACACACTGATAAATTCTGTATTTTCTTTTGCTTTTTTGGATCTGGAATTCACAGCTAGCCTTTAGTGAGACTCAAGTTGTGCCACTGCTGTTAAGGTTCAGCAATATTTAAAGGAGAAGGTGCCAGGCCGTAGGCGTGTGATGCACATTTAAGTTGATGAAATGTTAATAAATAAATTATTCGGTGTATAGGTTACACATTTTTACAATTGGAGAATGTGAAATTACTTTAGGCCTCTCACAATGATGTATGAAAATGTCAAAAAATAAACTGTTCATTTCCATAAAAGTTTCAGTTTCAGTCAGAGCCACTGAGAGAGGGGCTAAAGAGCTTCATCTGCCTCCAGAGCTGCAGGTTGCCTACCCCTAGCTGGATCTGTATTCAGGGAATAAAATGCAAAGTAATTTCGTGATCAAAATTTATATTCATACAGTTCCAATCAATCATCCCCACAGCTTGGTGCAGTAGAAGAAGTGATGAGGGGGGTGTACTAATAGGTAGAAGGGTAGGTTATCAAGGAGAAATGGGTATAATCTCTCATATATTCCAGTAGCTTTTTGGCTGATAGGTGGGTAATGTAGAAGGCACAAGCACTTTTGTTCCAACAATATGTTTGTGTTTGGTAAGTAACATCTGGAGTTCTGGAGGTATGGTAACCAAGCAAATCACTCAAGAACGCAAGCTATCATGTGTTTTTGTACCAAAATTAAAATGAACAGTTACTAGTGGCTTGTACTGTTTCTATGCTGTGTGACATTTGCACTGGAAAAGACAAAAATTGGAGGAATCATCATTCCTCTTTCCCCTTCACACGTTTGTCGCTATTCCTTGGGTGACATACAAGTGACGTCATCAGTCATCAATGCCATCTGACCCAGACGGTGACAGAATTGGTCCGACTTGTCGAGCCCCAAATCATCCTCAGAATGAGCTCAACAGTCTTAATGTGTTTCGCTGCCTTTAACAGCTCCTTCAGAAATATAATTGTAGTGATTTTGGTGCCAATGTGTATTTATTTAGTATTCAGAGGGCAGCGTTGGCCCAAAGGTTGTAAAAGCATGATTCTGAACAGATGGTTGTTGGTTTGATCCGTGAACTGGCTGTTTAAATGTGGGCGGGGACATTGCTCCAGTGAAGCTGCTCAGTGGCCAACAGAGTGTTTCTGAAAGAGTCCTTTGGTAAAAAAAAAAAAAACCCTATTTGTGTAAAAGTGTTCTTAAAGAAATAGTCGGTTATGAGCGTTAACAGTCGAGTGTGCAACAAGGCCTCATATATCTGCAAGAGAGTTTTATTGACAGCTTTCACACCAGCCTCAACGAACTGAACCAAATGAGCAAACAAGCCAAAAAAATGATGTAAGTGTGTGTAACAACATGAAGAGTCTTTTCTTGATGGTAGTGATGGCCAAATGAAGCCTCGTGAAGCATTTCCTTTATTTTCTGAGCCCACTAGATGGCGCTCTCTGTTCAACAAAAGGTTGAAAGCACACTGAATTGCCATTCTTTGAGACTCTCTCTTTAAACCATGAGCGCCATCTAGTGGGCTCAGAAAATAAAGAAAATGCTTCATAAGGCTTCATTTGGCCATCACTACTGTTGTACTGAGAAGCTGTTGTGCTCATCTGTATGTGCTGTGTATAACTGTAGCTGATGAGAAGCAGCCTGGTGTGCTCTTGATTTAGTGCTCATATACTGGTGCATTTTGCTGTTTGATCTATCAGAGTCTTATTTGTTCCAGTAATCTACAGAACACAGTAAATCCCTCCGCAGAGTAGCCGTACTGTATTCTAGCCGGCTGTGATATTTGGTTTTGATACCCATGTGGGGGTTTGATTTGGTGAACTGACACTCTCAGTCCTTGAAGAGTGGAGCATACCTCAGTGCATGGTTTCTGCTAAGGCTGGGCTGTCGCTCCTGCAACATGTCAAATATGTTCGGCTGTCGGAGGAACGCCACGATCTTGTCATTGTACGCTAGTGAGAGAGAAAGAAACAGAGAAAAGCAGTCAGACATGAACACTAAAAAAGTGAGAGGCCGATCGTGGCTTTAAATGAATGATGAGGTGTTCTGACTGTGCCTACATGGAGCGGTCAGCTGTGAGTTGTTGTGCTGGCTTCGTATGGCGGCTACCAGGCTGTTTCCAGGCCGGGCCATCAGAGACGCCCCCCGACTCCTGGACACATCAGAGGCCTGGGAACACACACCAACAGGACACACTTTTCACTGACTTCTGTTAAGGCTCTATGAGCTGAAAGCTGACGCTGATTGACTGTGTTTCTAGATAATGTCAACATGTCAGCAACACACAGTCACCTCAACATCAGTGTCTACTTGTTAATGCATGTGATGTGCACATTATTTAACACTGCTGGTGTCATGTTAATAGTACCAGCTGATATCCTGCATGAAACTTCCATGTTTTTAATGTTCTTTAGCTGAACTGATGTTGAAATTCACAGTGAACTTAGTTGTAGAAGTTTATTATTATGTTTTAAAATGAGGTCTGGTGATATTCTGTATTTGTGTTCTTTCCAACAAATCAAATGTGCACCCAAACTAACAATAGTACTATTACTTAGTGATGGCCAAATGAAGCCTCATGAAGCATATTCTTTATTTTCTGAGTCCACTAGATGGCGCTTATGGTTTAAAGCGAGAGGCTCAAAGAATGGCAGTTCAGTGTTCTTTCAACCTTCTGTTGAACAAAAAGCACCATTTAGTGGGCTCATAAAATAAAGAAAATGCTTCACGAGGCTTCATTTGGCCATCACTACTATTACTGAGTCTTTTGTGGATATGAAATCATATATTAGTGAGCTGTCTTTTTGGATTCATGGCTTCCGTAGGAACCAATGCCACATCAGCTTTTAGAGAGTACCTCCAACTACATTTATTGCACTACTTTACACAATACTTACTAATAAAAAGTAAGAGCTGAAAGGACACGAGCAGAGACTGTAGTCACACCAGGGCTGAGTTTGAACAAAGGAAATATATATGGATTCAAATCCATCTCGTGGGTAACTCTGAATCGCTACTACAGGTGTGTGGTTACCTCTCCAGCGCTGTAGCTGCGTAGTCTCTGCAGATGTTGTCTGTGGGCGAGGTGGCCGGGCAGCCGGCCATTCTGCAGAGGAATGCGAGGGTCGATGAAGGTGGTGGCTCGACTGTTGTGGTCCACAAAGAAGGACTGGAGGACAGGAAAAAAATGTACAGTATATATTGGGACAGTATATAAAGGGACTTTAAAACTGGTGTAATGTGTGGTCTCTTTCTGGTCCTTTTCAGCACACGTGCAGCTGAGTTTTGTGATAACTGTAGCGGAGCAGTGTTTTTTTGAGGAAGACCAGATGGTAAAACATTACAATAGTCAATTCTGCAGGTAATAAAAGTGTGCATTAGTGTCTCTGTGTTGGCTCGAGAGAGAAACAGTCCCACTCTGGCAATGTTCTTAAGACGATAAAATCCAGTTTTGGCTCAACTTCTAATATGTGTTTCAAAAGTAAGATTTGAATCAAAGATAACTCCAGGTTTTTAACCCGTCGACAGGGTTTTAGTGCCAGTTTAACAGTTTTGTGCTGAGCTTCTCCCTCTGAGCTTCAGGACCAATAGCTAAGACCTCGGTTTGTCCTGGTTGAGTTGAAGAAAGTTTTCTGCCATCCAGGACTTGATATCTAAAATTAGTGATGGCCAAATGAAGTCTCATGAAGCATTTTCTTTATTTTCTGAGCCCACTAGGTGGCGCTCATGGTTTAAAGAGAGAGGCTCAAAGAATGGCAATTCAGTGTGCTTTGAACCTTTTGTTGAACAAAAAGCGCCATCTAGTGGGCTCAGAAAATAAAGAAAATGCTTCATGAGGCTTCATTTGGCCATCACTATCTAAAATACATCAAAGAGTGCAATATAGGACAAAACCTAGTGTGTGTGTACATACAAATACACCCATACTTATGTTTAGTAGACAGTGTTGGGGGTGACTCGTTATAAAAGTGTTGGACAAAGAAAATTTGGACAAGAGCAGAAGCTTCCTCATACAAAGAGCTGCTCCTAAAACCGTTCGGAGTAGAGAGGAGGACTTTTAAGAGTTTCTTAATCAGAGGGGAACATGGTGGAAACACAAAGAGGTCAGAGAAATATTCTACAAACACTGGATGACAGTGAGTACATGAAATGCTACAGATTAGATCATGGAGGAATAATATGTGTGGTTGATGTCAATCGGGATACACACATTTCCCACTTAATGCTAGCAAGCAATAAAATGATGATGAAACACTAAGATATTTGAAAAACTGTAAAAATGCAACAGTGCGGCAGTGATGACTTGAGTCTGTTTGTGAATATGGCGCCAGATTTTTATTTTCTTGCCTCTTACCTCTCAGGGCTTCTGTCCTGTGTCTGTCACAAGACTGCCTCTCATGTTATTTATGGGTGTCAGGAAGAGGTTTCTTAGCTTCTAACTTCATGTAACTCTTTATATCTCCCACAGTACAGCTCTGCTCTGATGACATTTCACTGGCAACTGTGTTTTTCTTATCTTTCACATTTTGTCTGCTGGTGTCCGGGAGCAGGAGTTGTTGCTTTGTGGTGTAAAATTCTTCCTTTTAACTTTTGGTAACATACTTTATTTTTAAAGAAACCTGCCTGGCTGCCTTCATCAGGCTGAAATGAGCAATTTACAAGTTTGTGCAGTTAAGAGTTTGTTAAATCTGACACAGACCTCACAGAGAAACGTAAGAGAGCTCAGGGTTGAGAGTCTGAAAATGTTCTTACAGGAGGCCAAAAATCTTTTGTGTTTGTAAAAACAATAGTTAAAACACAAAAGGAGGACGGTAAATGTAAATTTAATGCATTAGATATCACAGATATTCTAAACTACATTGCATTTGAGTGTATTTGCATTTGCAGGTTTCATTTTCTGTTCATCTACAGTACACATGACGAACTCTGACCTTCTCTGGGCTTCAGACAACATAAAACAACATAACTAAACAGCTGAACATGATCGATGCAGTGTGTTGCCCTTGGTTCATTTAGCTTTGCTAGCACTTCCCAGCATGACGCACTGCTCTTCTGCAGATGTAGCCTACCTTGCCCTGGGGGTCGGTCTTGATCTCCCAGCCTCTCGGCAGCTCTAGCTGAGTGTCTGTGAACTTGTTGAGGAAAACCACCAGGTCCCGATTATGTTGGTAACGCTCAAAGTTCCTGGCATCGCGACGCACCTTCAGGATCATGTGTTTCACACAACTGCTGCTGGTGAACATCCGGTAGGCTGCCTGAAGAGACAACATCTGCAAGTTTACTTTGACATTCAGAGAAGTTAATAAAGCACTGTGTCACTGACGGGGAAATCTGTTCCACCTCTGGTTTTATAATTACAGTCTAAAAGTCTGTACTGTTTGTTGTAAACCTTACCAGCTTTAAACTGACTTTTAATGAGGAGCTGTGAGCGTGGACTGAGGTTAATGCAACTTTTAAAAAAATCCGGATCTAAATGAGAAGCGTTAAATCATGCTGTACTGTTCTAACCCTAATCCTAACACTGACTATTTCAACATATAAAAAAATCAGAGAGATAAACTGTCATGTGATCTGAGCTGCAGCAAAAACTGTAAGTCAGTACAACACAGTGATACATTAAGTGTGTGTCGGACTCACGTAGTTACTGTGCAACACAGTGAAGAACTCTGGGTGTGTGATGAACTTGACGGCAGGTGACTGAAGGAGATTGCTGACCTTCTGGTGATTGACAGGAGAGGCGGGGCCTGCAGACACACAACAGGTGAGTTACCTGCTGCATTATTATTTTTAAGCACTGACACAGGTTGTGACTGAAGTCTTATTATTTAACAGTAGAAAGTTCTGAGTCCGGAGATAAACAACTGTGAATTACTCCGACACAAAACAGAGCCAGCGTTTATGTCTTCAGTGATGATGTCACTATACCTGGCGGGGCAGAATCAGGATCGGTCTCTGTGCTGCTGCTCCGCTCCAACCTGGGGCTCCCTCCGTCCTCCTCTGTGGCCATGGTCCTCTGGATGTTCTGGTACCTGCACAAACAACAGCAGTCTGTACAGCAGATGTCACTGTAGGACCTTTATGCAGCTCAGAATACTGCACTGACTGCTTCATTTCCTCGATTCAGCTCTGTTCAGTTCAATGATATTGTTTGTTTGACAAAAACACAACAAAACAAAGATATTCAGATTAATTTTGAATTATAATTTCGATGCATTCTGATATTCTGTATTTAAGAGGGTGTTTTTTTACAACAGGTTTTCTAGGTTTAAATATTAATATACATACATGTACTATACGAGTCACCTACTGTGAGTAAACTAAGTCATTGCATAGACCATATTTATCCCATTACTTTGCACTATTAAACACCCTTGCACTACATATATCCTTGTTTACAATTGTTCATTATTGTGTTATATACTGTATCACCCCTTCTTCAGAACTGGGACAAAATGTCCTACCAGAAAAAAACTTAATTCCATTTCTGAGGGGGAAACATTATTTTATATATTTATTATATATCTTTTTTTATACAACAGTTAGTTCCAGCCCTGCAATCTGATTGGTCGAGAGACAGTAAAACCGTGATGATAATGGAGTACAACATCACGGTTATTTCACTGTGTATGTATCACTCTGCCTCACAGCTGATTGCAATCAACAATCAAATCAAAACTGACGGTTAGTGTCAGTTAGGTCAGCAGTTGCGTTGTAGGCTAATTAATTCATCCACTGTCAAACAGCCAAAAATATGGATTTATTTCCTAAAATAAGTTTTGAATTGAACTATGAATGGTCATCAGAGGAAGATGAGGGAGAGGAGAAGCTGAATCCATCTGAGCACACATCCAGGTTTGTCAGTGTTTCATCAGCGGAGCTCAATGACTTGGAGAAAAGCAACATACTGTCAGATCAGAAGGCAGAGTCGGCTGTGCCTGTGAAGCGACAGTCCACCATGCAGTCACCAGAGACTTATTTCACCGGCTGCACAATTAATGGACATGTGCAGATAAATGTGTATAAAGAGTAAGTGCCTGGCGCACAATGTCTGCGTTATATAGCAACGGTGACAGCGGAGTCCTGAGGGAACTATTTTTGTTGGCGGAAGACAAATAAAATGCTTAAATTATCTATTTTGTCCTCATTTTTCAACATTTCTTAATCAGCCTTGCTTATTTAACTGTTGAACTGTTGTATAAAAGCAATATCACACTCGAGCTCGTGATGTTGTACTGTGTACTCGTGTGATATTGCTTAAATGAATTAAATACATGTGATTTATAAAATATTTCGATCTGCTTTTATTTCTTTTACTTCTAAACTTGCCCTGTGCCAGACAAGAATTCAGAACTTCAAACTATTTCAAGATGTATTAGAAATCTAAAACTAACAGTACATACTGATTGGACGACTTTAATCATCTTTGTCTGAAAGTATATTTTTGGGAAAATCGTGGCCCTTTAAAGATGTGTCTAAGATTTTTGTCAACTCTGTCAGACTTCTACAAAAACATCATGTAATAAGGCATAAAAGGAGTTCTGTCTCACTTCCTGGTTTCCAAAAAGGCGGGAATGTTGCTCAAGTACTGGTAAGTTCTCACCGTATTTACTTGCCTTAACGACACATCACCCCAGTCCTGGCTGAATTACACTGGCTCCCTATTCAGTACAGAATTCAGTTTAAGGTTCTATTAAATATTTTCATCCCTACACAGTCTGACTCCGCCTTACATTTCACAAATCATAACCCCCAATTCTGCTCCAAGATGCCCCAGATCAGAAAACCAAATGTTGTCAAAAGTCTCACGGTCCAGGCTTAAAGCAAAAGGTGATCACGCTTTTACTAATTTAGCACCAAAGTTATGGAACAAACTCATCCTTTACAAATAAAGTTTATCAGGGCTGCCTCGATTTAAAATTTTCCTAGTCTACCAATAGTCGTCATCCAGGGCCATTAGTATATTTTTGGAGGGGCAACACAATGGTTTGAGTTGACAACATTTTTAACACTGTGCTACATTACAGAGAAATACAAAACCGTACTAATGAACTTTCATTAATCTACATCCTGACCCTCTCCTATGGTCATGAGCTCTGGGTTGTGACCGAAAGAATGAGGTTGGGAATGCAAGTGCCCAAAATGAGTTTCCTCTGTGGGGTGTCTGGGCTCAGCCTTAGAGATAGGGTGAGAAGCTCAGACATCCAGAGAGAGCTCGGAGTAGAGCTGCTGCTCCTTCACGTCGAAAGGGGTCAGTTGGTGGTTCAGGCATCTGATCAGGATCCTCCTGGGAGCCTCCTGTTAGAGGTGTTCTGGGCACGTCCCACTGGTAGGAGGCCTCAGGGCAGACCCAGAACACGCTGGAGGGATTTTGTCTAGTCTGGGAAAACCTCGGGATCCCCCAGGAGGAGTTGGAAAGCGTTGCTGGGGAGAGGGACGGCTGGGGTTCTTTGCTTGGCCTGCTGCCCCCACGACCCAGCTTGGGATAAGTGGTAGAAAATGGATGGATCTCCCTCCGCCACAGGATCTTACAATCCTGTCATGTCACCCAACCTATTAAGTTTTGTCTTATCTAGTCTCACCTGTCATGTCTGGCTTCACTTTAAAAGCATTGTCATAGCATGCTAAATTGGTGTGTTGGAACATCTTCAAAATGTTCTTTTCAGTAAGTGAGAAAAAAGACCCTTTAATTGCCTACAAAGAAACAAATACTGTTTAAAATATTGACCTTAACACATGCCACATGACTGATACAGGCTACAGTGTGGACTTTGACATCAAGGTCTAAACAAGAGAAGTTTCTCAATATTTTTTTTTTCTATTTAATTGCTATTCCTGCCGTTTGATTTTTTTGGTTTATAAAAGAGTGTCTGATGATCGTCACAATTTGAGCTTTATCTCCACTCTAATCGCAGTCTTACCTTCTGTTGAGTTGTTCCATCTGCTGTGTGGATCCTGAGCGGGGGATGCCGTGGTTACACTTGCCCCCGTGGTTCGGTCTCTGCCAGGTCGTGGTCCGGTTGACGTGGTCCACATAGAAAACTCTGCCGTGGCTGTCGATGCGAGCCTCCCAGTCTGTTGCAACAGAGGAGTTGGAGTGGAATCAGACTAAGTTACTTGCTATGTTTCTATTTCGACGTTAAGAATGTGTTCGTCACTCATAACAGGTAATTGGATGTGAGCAAACCTTTTCTTAAATGTTGTTAACGCTGCATACCAGTGAGAAGAAGCTCTAGGTTGTTATGTTCCTTGGTTGTTGCTGGTAATGCTTTCTACTTTTCAATGCCCCGTTTTTTTCTGCTGATCAGTTTAAAACAAAATACAAGATCTGAAGCTTCCTTTCAACTGCACACACAATAAGACACTGCATTATTTTCAGAAAGCATATTTAGATATATTACAAATTCTCGGGGGGTCACATGATGCTTTCTTTTGTAGTGATGGCCAAATGAAGCCTCATGAAGCATTTTCTTTATTTTATGAGCCCACTAGATGGCGCTTTTTGTTCCACAAAAGGTTGAAAGCACACTGAATTGCCATTCTTTGAGCCTCTCTCTTTAAACCATGAGCGTCATCTAGTGGGCTCAGAAAATAAAGAAAATGCTTCATGAGGCTTCATTTAGCCATCACTACTCTTTTGCCAACCTCCCGCCACCACCATATACATATTTACTCCTCGGAGTGGTTTTCACCTCTGTACGGACTTTTTACCACTGGCTTACTACTTTCAAACATGTCTGGTTCCGTTTCGACCCAAACTCAACGTGATTCTCTGACCAGAACTCGCTCAGAGTTGAAGACACTCCATTCTGCTAGTATGGAGGCTACTAGTCAACATGGCGCCACCACCTGCGAGGAAAAAACTTGGCTACTTGCCTTCCAGAGGATGTCAGACAGAAAATCTGTGCTTTAATGGAGCTTAACTTCACCGAACTGCACCAGACTCTGCTGGGAATTAAAAGGCATATTTAGGACGACACAGAGGAAGAATCCTGTATTTTGGATGCCGAAGACTACCCCGCCTCTCTGTCTAACAAGATCACAGCCCTCAAAAAGAAATGAAGATACTGCAGTGGCAGGGAGAACATAAGGATCATCGGATTCAAAGAAGGTATAGAGGAACAGCATCCAGATAAATCCAAACCATTGTCAAGTACAATCAACAGAGCGCACAGGTTTCTTGGCATGCGGAAAGAGGAATATTTGACACCAGTGAATATCAAGCTGCATAATTTCAGTGACAAACACACAATCATGGCAGCAGTAAGAGAAAAAGGCAAGCTTTTTCGCAACGGAAACCAAATCTACATTCGGCAGGATCTCTAAACCCAGGTGAGGCAGACCCAACAGGAGTTTAATGAGGTTTGCTAGCGTCTCATCTGGATGCACTCCCCAGCCAGCCTGTGTTGTACACACAATGTGGGAGTTCATGACAGACTGGGACAAATGAAAAGAGAGAATATTACAAGTTCTCATATAACTATTACGATACGTACAGGGAAAGTACTTTGTGGTTCAGTACCATTAAAACTCAGTAGTTTAATAAACTCCTTAAAAAAGCATAAATCCTTACTTTGATAATCACTTGCTCTAAATTTTAGTATCTCACACACACATTTTCCAAATCTTTTTGCTTTGACCACCATCCACTCTCTAGGCCTAAGTTTTTCCATTCCCCAGTACTTTGATGCTGCACGTCATAAAACCAAAACTGAGTGGATAAATAATCCCTTCATGCATGGGCTGAAGCCTTAGTGAAGATCCTCAGGGCTTCCAGGTCTTTTCTGACGAGTTAATTGGTGGTAGGATCCAAGCCTGTGGAGCAAATGATTGAGAATATAAGCCTATCTCTCCACTTCTTACAGAAAATCCAAATCTTAAATACACCATGAGAATACAGAAACTGCCAGTGTAAGCGCGCCTGAAACACAGTTTGTGTCCACAACTAGTGAAAAGTGCAAATTAAGAGACAAGATCGATTGTAGTATAAAACAACACAGCCTCAAAGAAAAAACTAAAATGGGTCAAAAACATCTGGGATCACAGAATAAAAGCTTAATAAGCCTCAGAAATCTTTTTAACAAGCAACTCTGCAACACGCTGTAAACACTTGTCCCAGTGGAATCTGTGGCTGTAGTGGCTTAAATTCAGCCAGCGCAAACCCCCTCATCACCAGCAGGGGTCACACTCGGCTGGTGGCCAACAGCAGCGATGGGTCTAATCTATGTAACAGCAGCAACAGAAAGTTTGCTGATATTGCAGGGTCCGATTCCAGCCAGTGCTACTGGGACCAGACAGCTGCTGCCACTGACTGGGCGTCAGTCTCCAAAGCTGCTGCCTGCTCTCCTCATGACGAGGTGTTCTGTAGTATCGAGGAGTGACACGGAGGACACAAGGGGCCTCTCCAAAACTGGACCCTACCCACTCCCACTCTGTCTCAGAGTGTCACTCCATTTGCATTCACCTTTACAGCTGACTGAAGCACCCTACATCATTTGATCCTAAATACAATGTAGCATTCAAGATTTTCATGTCTGCATGACAATATTAAACGACTATCTTAGTTTCATCAGGCTACATTCCAAAGGGTAGTTGCGCAGAACTGAATTTGTACGGAGCTTCTTCCATGACCAACACAGTTCTGAATTGCACATGGTCAGTAAGGTGGCATCAGTGCAGGCTCGCTTTTGGAGGGTTTTATAACACATCTCCATTCCTCACTAATTGGTCTGGGATGGTACTTAATGTGGCGGACACTCTGCGTGAACACGGAAACGGAGTGCAAGTGGATAAGGAGAGGGTATAGGAGGTGGTTTGAGAAAGGCCCACTGTGATTTGAGCATCTAGCTAATTTTAGCTACGTACACATTAACTTAAAGCCTCAGCTATGAGCATTTGGCTCCGGTTAGCAGAAGTCAAAACTATTAGCAACATTTTCTCTCCATGTCTGAAACACTTTACCAATATTGACACTTTTTGAGAAGTCCATCTTCTTCTTTTTTTTTTTGGGTTGCTTTGCAGTGTAGGCAGTTGCAAATGCTGGAATAGAACCTTCCTCTGCAGTAGTGATGGCCAAATGAAGCCTCATGAAGCATTTTCTTTATTTTCTGAACCCACTAGATGGCGCTTTTTGTTCAAAAAATGTTTGAAAGCACACTGAATTTCCATTCTTTGAGCCTCTCTCTTTAAACCATGAGCGCCATCTAGTGGGCTTACAAGATAAAGCAAATGCTTCATGAAGCTTCATTTGGCCATCACTACTCTGCAGGATTCTTTGCCATTGAATCAGACTTTCACCAAAGGGACATGCCTGCACATCTGTATTTGTAGAACAGCCAATAGGAACGCCCCCTCTCTGAAATAACCTGTGACTGGTCTAAGTCTCCCGTCACAGGCTGGATTTCTAAAGCCTGAAAACGGAGCCAAGAGGAGGTGCAGAAGTCTAGTTTTCTCCCGGACGACTTGAATTTCATTTTGCTCAAAGTTTTCTTATGGGATTTTTCTCTAATGATGCCAAAATAAAACTGCCTACCCCAGCTTTACCTATGGTTCTGCCCTCTGTTAAGATACAGAATAAAGTGAGGTCAGAGCTGCTGGTATAAAACGATAACAGAAGTTTAATGCGACTACAAATTTAAGACCACCCTCACTCCGGCAAAGAGAAGGAAAAAAACAACACTTCTTCCCCTGTAATTTTTATACAGTCCCTTAAAACCAACTGACTGCTACAAGAACCAGTAATGACAATCCTTGTACCAGTAACAGCAACGACTTAGTACGAGTCCTAGTACTAATACTACAACAACAAATGGCAATATTAGAAGTACAAATACTAATAATCTACATATCTTTATTATGGAAACACCGACTGTTTCTTGCAGTTTATGAGTAATCATAATAAAGGACTCCATAGGTCAAAGGTGAAAACTGTTTCTGTTTAATGCTGCACGTCATTTCTCTAATTTGTGTTAATTTTTGTTGCCTGAGTGGTTTGGGTTAGGGTTAGGGTTATAGGGTTAGATTAAAATTCTTCTGATAAAATGTATCTACAGAGGCCAGGAACAGAAGCTGGTTGGAATTGGAAAGCTGTTAGTGTTGTTGTTGTTGTTGTTGTTGTTGTTGTTGAGGCTATCTGATGCCACAATACGGCTTCATTTGGCTCATAAACGGCCAGAGTGTGAATGTGTGAGAGGAAGACTGTAACTGCTGAAGGAGGAGGAAGAAGACTGCCTCCTCAGGACAGAAAAAAAAAACCATCTGTTGGTTGTCACGACTGCTCTGCCCACACACACACACACACACACACACACACACACACAGAACAGCCTCTGACTGCCAGTCCTCATATTAAGGGAGTTAGTTTTCCTACCTTGGCTCTGCAGCCCTGCTCCTGTTCATTAGGCTGAAGGTGGTCTGGGTCAACTTTTTAAGTGGTCTGAGTTTCTATGAAAATGAGGCAGTGATTGTGATCAGGCTGCCACACTGGCCCTGACCATCAATATGAGGTCAGAAAGACGGTGGGCTCTTATGTCAGACAGATGTTAAACTTTGGTTGGAATAAAAATCAGGTTGATGATATTTCACATGTGCAGTGATGACAGAATTTCATGTTGTGTGGACGTTAATATGATTTTTTGCTGACATTGAGTTTGTTCTTCACACCTTACAGCTGCTCATTCTTATCCTACAACAAGGTGGGGTTGGGATGAGACGTTTGGAAGATGTTGGATTTTGGTCACAACACAACTTAAAACCAAGAAAATATCAACATCATCTTTCATCAGTATTTTACGTCAAATTGATGCTGGGATTAGACACAACCAAAATTCAACCAAATATCAGCGTCTAACATCATTGGTGGCCGGCTGGATTTGCTCTAGTAAACATCCTGAAGATTTCTGGTTCCAGCTTTTCATAAAATGTTGATCTTAGTGCGTTTCATATCTCTTCACACTAAAAACTTTGGGATTTTTATGACTAATGGTCTGGCAAAATACATATTTTGAGTTCATCACTTTGGGCTCTTACAATTATATTATATTTCCATCAAGAGCACTGTCCAGGGTTCTGACTTGACTGGCTGTCCAGTGTTGTCACTGGATTTTCAACTTTGTGTGAACCTATAGGACAAGTTTTGAAGAGTGACACTTCACCATTTGGCAAAACAAGACAACTAAGCCTCAACAACAAAGAGCATTAGACATGTATATAACTGATGAGGCAAGATAAAAAAATCAATTTGAATGGATTTTTGTCTCTCCTACTGTTGCTCTTTGTCTTAAGCTTCCTACAGACTATGAGATTTTAACAGTCTTATGAGTTGAGTGCAGCTACATGGTATGACACGGATCTAATAAACTTGGGTAAGACATCAAGTTTGACATCTAAGTGCCTACTGAATTGCAGGCTACGACGTACGTCCAGTGAAGTCTATGTAAGAACAAAACATCATCAGCGTGTGTCATCCATCTAAGCTGCTGTAGTGGTAAGAGAAAATTGAAAACAGACATGAATTAGTGGAAGTTATGTGTGTCCAAAAGTATGACACTGTCAGAATTTTATCCCAGGCTGATCACAAGATTGTGACAATGGCCATCCTTGAACCTCTCACTTTGCGAAGTAGGACCACCGTTTTAGAGCCAAGACCAAAGATATCGCCACGTTTCTTTCACGATGCTCATCTTTAGTCTGCAACAGCCCAAAATCCCATGCTGTTTACCGGGCCTTACTTCTACTTGGGTTATAATCATGCTCTAAGTTTTGAAACTACAGCTCCCATGATGCTTTGGGGGATGTGCACACAGAGTATAATGTTGCCTTGAATTCAGTAAGCTATCATGTAAGCTGTTATTTTAGCTTAAATTTGTTTGCATTTGGCAAACTGACACGCTGAATTAGCTGTTAGCAGCTCCTGTTCGCAGTGTACCCACAGATATACAGTCAACCATCACTGGATTACTCTGATACTGAAGAAAACTTTTAAAACTTTATGATTCTAAAGCAGATCCCGGCATTATAAGGAAATCCTCACAAGATTTAACTCACACTGAGTCTGAGGATACGTGGATGATGTCTGTGTGTTCAGATTAGAATGAGCTGCGATTCCTTTAAGAAGTGCAGGATATGATGAGAACTGTGACAGTCCGGCTCTAAAGGTTCTGAAGTGACTTAATGGCCTCCATGACCTGTGTGTAACAGTCACTGCTGCTGCTGCTGACTGTGTTGGTCTCTCTGTGGCCCCCATCTAACTCTCCAGGGCCCCCTGGGGAGACATGACTCACCGTTTTAAGCCCCCATCTAGGCAGCAGATCAGGGCTGAGTCATCTCTGGTCAACAGTGTAATATGTTTCTTGACAACTTCTAATTTTGCATAAACATGGTGACACTGAAGAAGGTAAGTATATTATCTAATCTGTACAGGAAGCTGCACACAGTCAGAGAGGAGCTGTACTTAAAGCACCTAACTTCCTCTGAAACACTGTTGCTTTTACTTTTCTATTTGTGCATGGATTAATCAAACACAGGATGGAGGTGTTGATAGGCTTATTTTAGGGTTACATTGATTTTCTTTTTATCTTAGATTTAAGTGTCGTGCCTAATTTTGCCCACCCAGCATGGGATTAAAGGACAGTTGGACTGACCCAACACTGCGCAAAATTATGGTGTTTTGGGTCAGTCCAGTGTTAATTTCATAACCAACAACTATTATGAAAAATGTTCCTCGATGACCACGGTGAAGACGACACAGTGACGAGCTAAAAATAGATCTTGGTGACAAAAAACTATGACGAAATCTATGTTTCATTTTCGTCATGACGAGACGGGACAGGATTTCAACAGGGTCGTGTTGTCTCAAATCATGCGCCGCTGTCTTGCACTTACCGGAAGTGACAATGCTTTTTTTTTTTTTGCCTCTTCTTCTTCGTGCTCCTTTGTAAACAGACTGTGGAACATTATCACCAACATTCGACTGCTATCTCCACCCACACATAAACCAAAGTTACGCCACAACGTCAATGCTGATTAAAATGTGCTGCCGTAGCTAGGAGCAAGTTAGCTAGCAAGCTAATGATAGCATTCGCATTATTGTTCACAGGACTTAATCGTTACAGACCCAACAAACATTACTGATGGTTTCCATTCGCCAAAAGTGTTGGTACTTAGTGCAAAAAACATGTGACTTATATCTGTATAACGCAGCGGTGTCCACTGTAGCCAGCTCAGGCTCCTTGTTTTCCCAGCTGCCATGTCAGAAGTTGAGTGTGAACCCACTTAGCGCACTCGGCTAGGGTAAAGTGTTTAGTACAGAAGTATGTGATTTGAGACACACTGTCAGACTAAATCTAAAATGGCTGCCAAATTACCACAGGTTTAGTCCATATATGGTCAGCTCACTGTCGTTACAAACAACAAACTAATATTGTTTGGCCATCACAATAGATTCTGCACCTTTATCACAACAACATGTACTGAAAAATACTGCATGTAAAGAAACAACACAGTGTCTGGGGACTCTCAGTTGGAGGATTATGTAACAGCTAAGTGGAGTTTGGGCCTTCCGGCAGCTGACCTTCGTGCTCTGAATCAGCAAAGACCAGCGAGCCATCCTTCCCATACGGAGTGCAGATCCAACCGTGAACCAATCAGCACAGAGCAGTACAGAGCTGCACATCTAAACCTAAAGAGCTGTGCAGGGAGGGAGGATGAGATTATGACGACAAACACAGAGGCGATGGAAGATGTTTGGAAAGCAAACATACGTGGCGGCATGCAGCTGATGGAAACACACACACACACAAACAGCAAACCAAGGTGTAGGGATGTGACTCCAGAGTAAGACTGGGAGGTGTTGGTTCTTACTTGGAGGTAAGGCTTGGTCAGTGGCAGCAGGAGAATGGTTTAGGTCATGGCTGGGTCGCAGGACTGGAAGATTGCCAACAGGAGGGGAGAAGCCTGAGCCTACAGGACATCAGAGAGACAGTACGGTATAAATTACCATAATGCTGGGGACATACCATACCACCTGGCAGACTGGGAGAAGGAAACTCGGGATGTGGAATGTGCAATATTATAATTTATCACCCTTAACCATGTAGTTTCAGTCTGGTATCCCTGGACTCATATTGGGCAGTTTAAGAGTGCATGATTTCCATCCAGGAAGTGGTGTGACCTTTTGGCTCTATCTGTGGTCTCTAGTAACTTCTGAGAAAGCTCTCTGCTGCTCAGCTAGTCTCGGAGGCTGGGTTGCACCAATAAGAAGCAATTTAATCTAAGATTAATAAGAGTTTCACAAAACTACAATTAAAAAGAGAAAATCTAGTTTTTAAATTTAGCACATCTCTGTTGCACAATTAAAAATTGTACTTACTTTTGCTAGCTACGTTAGCTTGCTAGCTAAAGAGTCAGTTATTCATGTTGGCTCTGAAGAGACGCTCTAATTTTCTCTAATTTTGAGAAAAACTTGCTATGGCCGAATAATAGAAGACAATAAACAGACAACAGTACAGGGGGAAGAAGAGATTGCCTGGGCAGACCATCGTCATGGAAAAGGACAGAGAATTTCAACAGCATCAAAAAACTCAGACTTTCTTTGATGAACGTAATCATTTTGCGCATTCCATCTCCAAAAGGCAGCAATTTTGAAAGTTAAACCTCCACAAGTGTAAGTTTAAAGTTTTGTTACAAAAGAATGAATTTAAAGGTGAAATCTAAAGAGCGGTTTAAATTTAAAAGTGAGATTTAGGGGGATTTAGTGGCATCTACAGGTAAGGGTTGTAGATTGGAACCAGATGAAACTCCTCCCTGTTAGAATTCCTTCAGTGCTCATAGTTAGGAGGTTTTAACTGGGAGCTGAATTATCCACCGAGGTCTCTTCCTCTCAAAAAACAAACAAACACTACAATTCAAAGCTGTAAAAACACTGAATAAAGCAGTTTTTCGGTACAAATCGTACTTTTTCTGATGCTGCTCATTGCGGAGGGGCTGCTGACTATGGTGGCTGATGCTAAAACATAAACAACACCTATCTAGAGCTGGTGTTTGGTTTGGCCATCGTGGGCTACTGTACAAATATGGTGGTGCAACTAGTGATGGCCAAATGAAGCCTGACGGACAAACTCCCTATGTAGATATAAACATCTCATTCTAAGGTAACAAAAACTTAATAATTCTGATTTTAAGGTGATTAATAGTGATGGCGAAATGAAGCCTCATGAAGCATTTTCTTTATTTTCTGAGCCCACTAGATGGCGCTCATGGTTTCAAGAGAGAGGCTCAAAGAATGGCAATTCAGTGTGCTTTCAACCTTTTGTTGAACAAAAAGCGCCATCTAGTGGGCTCAGAAAATAAAGAAAATGCTTCATGAGGCTTCAATTGGCCATCACTAGTGATTATACACTAAGGAAAACATACTTCTTACATTCATTTTTTTCCAATATTCCCCAGAATATTAAAGTTAAATGAGGATTTAATTGGGTTTGAAAATGAATCCTTGTTGGTGCTTCCCAGCTCTAATTTTGTTTGTCTGCTAATTTCTTTACCGAGCATTTAATGTACCGTGACGAAGCCTTTTCACTGAAGCTGCTGCTGGAAACAAGTTTGATGAGAGCTGTGAGACTGAAACAAAAGAGTAAAGCTGTGGGCTGTAAAACCAAAACAATGAGCTGAAAGGCTAAAACACTCTGTGGAGCCGATAGTGGTAATCGTCAGTGGGTTCATTGCTATGAGAGACACAAAGTCGTCATGTGGCCGACTGTTTATATAAAAATAATGGGTGGTGCAACTTTAACCACACCATAGCTGCCTAGCATATATTGTAAAAAGAAATACTGGCATTTGACATCATCCAGAGTTTGCAGAATTATCCAGTACATCATGGTCTGTTTTGTGACAGGACTGATTAAATGTCTCCTGATATGTCACTTAGAGGAGAAGCAACGACTCCACATCACCTCATCATATGATGCACTCTCATTGGCTACTGGCAGTTTGTTTGGATGTTGCCTCTAACAGCATTTCCATCTCCTATTAAAACACTAATTGTGATCGAATGTGTGATGCGGATGAGGGAAATGCAAAATGGAAATACACACAACATGCTTTGAGATGGGAATGTGGTTAGATCAGCCGGAGCCAGCTTGGTGGAAATGGAACCCATAAAATACTATCACATTAATGAGGAAGCACTCCCCCGCTGGGTAGATGCATATCACCACGGCAGAAACACAGCTGTAGCAGGTGAAAAATGCAGCAAACATGAGCAGACACATCAATGTAAAAGGCAGAAACATCACTGTAATGACAGCAGGTAGAGATGTAGAGGACAAATCACAACAGGCAGAAGCACCATCAGAAATGTCTTTAACACAGCCATCAGAAACAACCTTCAACATTACCGCCCTGTGGCTGTATGCCTCTGCTCACCAGTCAAACTCTTCTTACAGTTTACATCCATGTCTGTGAAAACATGGCTGCTTCACACCCGCTGTCCCCCCTGACAGCACAGAGGATCTATACAATCAGCACAGTTTCAACATGGACACCCAAAATTAGTGTCCAATTCAAACCAATTCAGTATCTGACCAAATGTCTCCCCTTCTGATCCTGAGATATGACGCTGAGTAATGTCCAGAAAAGTGTTTTCTCCAGAACATTATGATGTCACAGTGACCTCCTCCTGTACTGCCTTAATATGCACATTCAGCACATCCAATGCATCAAAACATTGTTTTCTAGTTGGAGCCGCGCCTCGTTTTCAAACTGTATGGTTTGACTAAAATGAACAATGACAGCAATATAGTCCACGATGAGCAGCGCTAAAATCAACCTGCGTAGTTGTCCCTCCATTGTGACATTAGAAAGTGTCACATTTATCTTGCAAGTGTACTCTTCTTCAACGTTTGCTTTACTTCCTGGATTTTTCCCACATGGAAATTCTGACCAATCAAGAGCAGCTTTCTCACACAAGGCATTTGATCTGGTCCTCTTGTAAATGCTGCCGTGAGAACACGAACCAACTCTAGGCAATTATACAACTTTGGAACAACATGAGTCCCTGATTCAGACCAAAGGAGACACTCTAGGCCTGACAGCTGATAAATTTGGATATCTAACAAAGACTAAGTCAAATATGACTGAGAGAAATGTAAGCCTAAAGCCCTTTTTAGACAGGGATTGTGCAAATTTGCAGGAAAGCCCAATCAGTCTTTTTTCAGCATTGGCAGTATAAAAACAAAATCGGGGAGTGCAGCAAAATGCCGCCTACCTACTTTTGTTTATACAGAATGCGCCTTTTTCGGGGCAATGGGGGGCGTGAGCAAGTAACAAAACATGTAGCTCAGAGTGTGACGTAAACAGTGACGTGGGAGGGAAGCCGCGGCTAATCAAGCGACGATTGTCTCGTAAGTCGGCCCGTTCTTCACCGTCCCCGTCATCTGACGGTTAATGGCCTCTTCGTTTGCGAGGACAAGGAGGGCGCGCAATTCCTTGTCTCCCCAGTTGCTCATCTTTACAGTGTCTGTCAGGTTTGTGTTTCCCTCTTGCTACTAGCTGCTCGCTAATTCCTGCTATCAGCTGTTTCCTGTTTATCCACCGCCAGTGGCTCCCATGTGCGGCGTCATCAACAGCTCCTCCCACAAGTCATCAACAGCCCCTCCCGTTGTGGAAGGATCAACTCGCCATTCCGCCTCTGTGTGTATAAACGCTCGCAGCTGGCCGGCAAAACAGCCCAACATTCGCAGAAAATCTGGCAGTGTAAAAGGGGCTTAAGTCAGGAGGAGGCAACTTGTGGCTCCGGAGCCACATGCGGCTCTTTAGCCCCTCTCCAATGGCTCCCTGCGGCTTTGACCAAAAATTAGGCGACATGGAAACAAATCACGGTTATTTTCTAACATTTTCTTTTTCTTTTATTATTGTTGTAGACCTACAGTGATTCTTACATTATCCAGTTGTAAAAATATGTAACCACTGAACACTGAGAGCAGTGGTTTGTCTTGAGTCTCCTTAGCGAGGCTTGCTGTGGATTCCAAATTCAGAGAGGAGGAGTCTTGGAAGAAAAAACTGAGTTCAGTCGTGCATAGACAGATTTGTACCAAATATTCATCAATACCTTACTGCAGAGTGGCCACCTTAAGGTAAAACAATGATTAGACCTTTCACTAATGATAAGCTCATTTAGACTTAATAAGGCTGTGTTACCTTTATTATTAGGCTCAAATTCATTTTGCAGCTCCAGACAGATTTAAGTTTTTGGACCAAACATGGCTCCTCTGGTGGTAAAGGCTGCTGACCCCTGGCCTTGGCAAACCAAAGTGTGTGTAGTTATTGTGAATTTAAATACGAGGAACGAAAGGAGACTTTGTGTTCTCAAACTGAAGGTGGTAAATTGCCTCTTGCAGTGTTTCAGTGCGCTGCTTTGGAAGAAGAATGTTTAATTAATCCAGTGTGTGATCTGGTGGAATTTGGAAATGATCATCAGACGTTTTGTGACCTCTGCTTTAATTACACAAAGGATGTGCATGAGCTGAGAAATATAAATGACTCATAACGGCTTAAATGAAATGAATGCATGGGGGTCAGGGAGGAAACTCTGTATCACTGAATCATAATTATTATTTCAATGAGTGTCATTATTACTCAAACTGGGGCTTTTTACTGGAAACTTCTGACCTGCTAATGGCACGCTGTAAATGTTTACTGACTTTAACACGGAGCTTCAAATTGCTCCAGGTTTCCTGCAGAGCTGCCGTCCAGTACACACCCACAGGGTCAACACAGACTCCAACAGTTTAAACCAGAAACACTTACTGTCCACAATGACACTCACTCTGCAGATATCTTTAAATAGCTACAACTCTGCGCTCATCGTAGCATTACTCACATGCTCGTTCCCTCTGCTGCATTTTGGTCTTTCACCATGTTAACTCATGCTGGAGGAGGCGAAAGACCCAAATCCTGTCTCCCTTACGCCCACGTTTAAAATAATTTGCACCTATGATTTTAAAAGGACTCTTGAACTCAGCACAGAGGCTACAGTATTCTAAGTTATATGAGTTAGTGTGAATGTATCATATTTGCTGTAGAGCACAAAGGCAGAGACAAACTCCAGGTTTTATTCGAAATTTGGAACTGGACTAAATTTAATTTGATGTTTTGGCGCGAATGGGAGAAAAAACATTTGAAAGAACAAACCTGGCAGGGAGTCAGCGGTGCGCTGATTGCATTTCAGAGGAGGGGAATTTCATTTTGTTTCTGCAAGACAGTGTGTGTGTGTGTGTGTGTGTGTGTGTGTGTGTGTGTATGTGTGTGTATGTGTGTGTGTGACCTAGTTTTCTATCCCAGTCTATAACAGTCGTCATTTAAAATGTACAAATACAGTATTAAACATGAAGACACATCCAGCGAAACAACACCAGTCAAATTCTTATTTGACTGCAGATCACATGAAGCAAACAGACCAATTTTACAGTTACAGTTACTGTTTCTACTGGAGTTGTGCCTCAGTATGATCTTTTGTTTGTCAGTGTTACCGTTCCTCCTTCTAAGCCCTTTTCACATATAGAATATGTTTCTATCTGTTCAATGTTAATGACTTTAGAGCTTGTCTCCATTAATTAATGACCTTTACATGCATGAGGAATGCTCCCTCGCCATTCTCACAGTGAATTCCCTGATACCTTTTTCTCATCAGCGTCATTATTCATCAGATCAAATAAAGAATTCTGCTGCTGGTTTGCCCAGGCATAGTTAACATTGACAAGCAGTTGTGACTGTCATTTAGAGTGTATTCTCAAATAAAAGCTGTGTGTGAAGTCAGGTGGAACTACCTGGACTGTACTGGCTCTCATGGTAAATTAAGGATATTTACATTTCCACTGAACTAATTCCATCGGTGAAACAGCAGACACCATACCACTATGCTGTGCTTTATTTTTAACTCAAAAATGCTGTTTTCAGTTATTAACAATTGCTAACTGCTTTAACTTTGCCGTTTTGTCAATTTCTGTTAAACTACTGTCAATTAAACTCAACACTTCCTGTATAAGTTCACATTAAAAGCTGACAAAACGCAGCTTAGGCCGAGTGAGTGACTACACTAAGGGCCTGTCCCAATACCCACACTTCCCCTAGAAATACCCACTTGCACTTGGTTGTGCGCGTTCACGTTTAGGCTAGTGGTGTCCCAAAACAGAACCCGCCCTAGATTCCAAGGGAGCCCCGACCCACACTTTCAACAAAGTGGAAGATGAAATTTCCCAGAACACCTTGCGAAGTCAGCAACTTTGGCAAGTTTTGGAAAACAATTTGTTGCTGTACGATCGGAATGTAGGCTATACAAACAACAGATGGTTGGACTAGCGTAAACTCATCAGCAACTCTGTTGAACACAGCGTCAAAATATTTAAACAAATCGACTTACCCGAACAAAATCGATCAGAACTAGAAGACGTCGTAGGCGCCTCCTGTTTTCAGCATTTCTTCTCCGTTGATTCATCAGACGGAAAAGAATAAACATAGCACACGCCACAACACAAGCGCTGGAGCCGCATTTTCAAACCTGAATGACTACCGGTATCTTGCGTCACTACTACGCGTGACATATGCCTGCATGTCGGCCACGCCAATTTGCATGAAGTGGTGTCTCATTTCTTAGGGAAAGATCTCCACCTTAATATTTCTCACTTCCCTCATCAAGGGTTATCTTGCAAATGAGGACACTCAATACCAAGTGGAAGATTTAAGGGGTAGAAATGGGACTGGGCCTAACACTGTCATGTCTTTCCTCAAGAAAGAGAAATTGCAGTTCCATAAGGAAAAGAAAGAGAGAAAGCAAACTCACTCAAAAGATGCTTGAGAGACATATGGATCAAGAGAGGAAGGGCTGGGGGTCCACGGAGGCTACTTATGCACAAGGCCCATTGGTGCTACGCCCCTGGTGTGAAGTGTGTTTCACTGACACCCTAATAGTAGTGATGGCCTCAAAAAGCACAAGATTGTTGCTAAGTAGTGATGGCCAAATGAAGCCTCATGAAGCATTTTCTTTATTTTCTGAGCCCACTAGATGGCACTCATGGTTTAAAGAGTCTCTGGTTCTGCCTTAAACTGGTTTTCATCATACTTATCAAACAGATCCTTCAGTGTTTCCATCAGTGACTCATCATCTTCCTAAGCTCCCATTTTCTGTGGTGTTCCCCAAGGTTCCATTCTCGGTCCATTCCTCTTTTCCATTTACTTGCTTCCGTTAGGCCAAATTATCCAAAAACACAATATTTCTTTCCATTGCTACGCAGACGATACTCAGATCTACCTCGCCCTACAGCCTAACAACCATAACAAACTCACAGACTTCAATAACTGTCTTGCAGATATCAAGTCCTGGATGTCCACAAACCTTCTCCAGCTCAATGAAAATAAAACTGAGGTTATTTTATTTGGTCCACAGCATCTATCAAACAGTATTTCACCCTTTGATAAACAAATCAACCAAGTAGTAAAATTAGGCTTCATGCAGCTCCGCACCATCTCCAAATTAATATCATTTCTCAGTTCCGCTGACCTGGAGAAAGTCATCCATGCCTTCTTATCATCCCATCTTGATTACAGCAACTCACTATATCTTGGTATACCTCAGTCACCCCTATCCCATCTTCAATTAGTTCAAAATGCAGCAGCAAAAATACTAACAAGGTCAAAAAAGTCAGATCACATCACTCCTATTCTTGCCTCCCTACACTGGTTGCCTGTCACCTACAGGGTAAATTTTGTTCTTTGTTTTTAAGGCATTAAATGGTCTCGCCCCCCCTTATATCACCAAACTCCTATCCCCTTATCACACTGCCAGAGCACTGAGGTCTTCTGACCAACAACTACTCTTTGTCCACAGAACAAGGACAAAGTGCTATGGGGACAGGGCCTTCTCAATAGCTGCCCCAAAGCTGTGGAATTCCCTTCCTCCCCCTATTTGTTTCTCCCCCACTACAGACACTTTCAAGAGTAACCTTAAAACATATTTCTTTTCTTTAGCTTTTAACTGTATAGTGTTTGCTTGCTTGTTTGTTTGATTGTTGATTTGTTTTTCCTTTGTATGCGGTGTAAAGCACTTTGAATCAACCTTGTTGTGTGTAATGTGCTATATAAATAAAGTTGAACTTAAAGTTGGACTTGAACTAAAGAGAGATGCTCAAAGAATGGCAATTCAGTGTGCTTTCAACCTTTTGTTGAACAAAACGTGCCATCTAGTGGGCTCATAGAACAAAGAAAATGCTTCATGAGGCTTCATTTGGCCATCACTAACTACCTACTGACATATGACTTATTTTACAGATGGAACTGCTTAATTTATCAAAAAGACAAGTAAACATGTAGGAAGATTTGAGTCTGCATTGACCAATGAACAGTGGAAACTAGAAAAGTGCACTCAGGAGAGCACAGACCACACAGCCACTCTAGACAGCTCTTGGTATTTCAGCAGATCCACCACGGCACGTTTCACAAACATCCCAGAGGTTAATAAATAAACGTGCCCGGTCTATTTGTCGGAGCCATGGCAGCTTTCACAGAGTGGATCACGTTCTCCTGCTAACAGGCACTGTATGTGAAATATAGATACGATATCACCCCTTTTCCACAGTCATGGGCTTGGTTTGGTTTGGGCCGTCAGCCCAGTGCAGCAGCATTGCATTTCCATTACAACAGGGCTACCTGCTTGAAGACGAGTCTCTAACTGATGTTGAAAAGCAGCAGGTGTGAATGTACATACTAAATATTAGGCTGATTGGTCCAGTAGTTTGTGAGGTTAGCTGCAGACAGACAGATACACACGTGCACACAATCAAACACATGATCCCAAAACAAAGCTGCTGTCCACTTGAAGCTCTAGCTGTTGTATGGATGTGCATGTTGAAGTTGTAACACAGAATGAGACTCCAACAGACGACCAATGAGAAGGTCAAGTTTCTCTTACCGATGTTGTTTCTATCGCTGGGCCCCGCTACAGCTGGTTCCCCCTGCTCTCCTCTCCTGGCCTCCTTCCATCTCCCCGTCCTCCTCTCTCCTCCTGCCCCGCCCACCTCCTGGCCCTCTGGCGTGTGGCCGGCGTCAGGCACCGACTCGAAGGCGCTCTCCTCATCTTCATCTTCGTCCTGCGAGGAGAACACAGTGCTGCCGGAGAGCCTGTTGCTGTCCACCGAGGAGAGGCGTGTGTGGCTGCAGAAGCGGCTCCTCCCCTCGTAGCCGGAGTTGCTGTAGCATGACGTGCTGTAACAGGAAGTGCTGTAGCAGGAAGTGCTGTAGCAGGAGGTGTCGCAGAACTCGCACTCGTTGTCACCGGGATGTCTGTGGGTGCTCCCGCCGACTCTTCTCCCTCCTCCGTTACTGGAATCCCCCTCCTCGCTCTCCAGGCAGGACGGAGAGATCCTCCTGACCACTGTGTGTCCTCCTCCTCCTCCCTCTCCCTCCAGGAGCTGGTTCAGCTCAGAGAGGCGCTCAATGGAGAGGCTGCGGGGTAGGGAGCGACGGCAGCAGGGGCCTGGACACTCTGGGACCTGCAGGAACACATAGGCGTTTAGAAAGGCAATTAATAAAGTTTGTCATGGTCTGTATCATGAAACATGTTAGTTATCTTTGATAACTCATGGTGGTGCCTGTAGTAAATTTCATGACAACTACTTTTTCTTCAACTTAATGTACTTGTGATTATCTTGTAACTTGAGGACAGGTTTTGGCCTCTCTAATGACTGTGTGTACCTGAGAGGGGGACTGGGTTGTATCCTCCTCGTCCTCGTCCTCCTGCACGTCCTGATCTTTCGAGGATTTAAGCGTTGGTGAAGTGGAGTTGGTATCTTGTGTGGTGCTTGTGTTCTCTCCCTCCCCTGTCTCCTCCTCGTCCTCCTGGCTGGGAGCTCTGTGCTGGGCCGAGGGGAGGCAGTGGAGGAGGTGGTGGATCCGGATGTAGTGGGACCGAGGCGTCTCCGGTTCACCGCAGGCCGACGCGATCACCGTCTCCAGCTCTGACACGGGAAGGGAGCAGGGGCGGTTTTTGCGGCGCGAGGGAGCGTGGGAGTTGTAATTTGAGAAGATGGATGGGCAGGTGCAGGGGACGCAGTTTCTTTCCTCTCCCTGTGTCACCTCCTGTGGGGCCCCTTCAGCTGGTTCCACAGGGGCCTCCTGGGACGTGGTGTCTCCCTCTGTGGGGGCCTCCATGGTAGCAGCCCCACTGTTTACTGTTACTGCTACAGGATTGTCAGAGTCTGGCTTTGGCTGTGTTTCCTCCCCATCCTCCTTTTCTTCTGCTGTCTCCTCCTCAGCTGGTGGTGCAGACTCTGCTCTCTGTTCCCCCTCTCCTTCATCCTGCTGCCTCTCCTCTCCTCCCTCCTCTCCCACCTCTCCACTGCTCCCCTCCTGCTGCTCAGCCGAGGCCCCCTCCTCCTGCTCAACCTGTGGCTCCACAGACGGGGGCTCCTCCTTCACTGTGCTCTCCTCCTCCACAGTTTCTTGCTCCACCTCTGGTGTCACCTCAGCCTCCTCTGTCTCAGCAGGATGGACCTCCTCAGGTGTGGATGCTTCCGCTGTGGAGGCTGAGGGCACAGAGGTCTCAGGGTCAGGAGGGACATCCAGGGGGAGGTCAGGCATGTCAGGTCCCACACTTAGTGTGTCTTCATCAACATGGTTGTCGTTTGCGGCATTTCCCCCCTCAGGACAGGCTGACTCTATGACCAGGGAGATCTCCTCATCATCTAGGAAAAGAGCACAAAGAAACATGTCCACTGAAATTACTTTGCAGAGTTGGTGCTGTTAGATTGTGTCGTGTTTATCAGATTCTTTACAGCTGTGGCGTGCGTAAGATTGGGTTTTGTACACTGAGGTTTTTGGCGGGACCACAGCAGTAACAACTAAATGCTTCATCCACACACTCTTGTCACAGTGTATGAAAGCACAACGCTATCATCAGATGACTGACAACTTTGGTCACCTCATGTTCTGTAACCACTGTTATGTTAGCATAAAAGCATTGTGGAATTAGCAAGTTAGCTAACTAACTAGCCAGTCACCACATGAGTAAAATGTAAGAAGTTAATGCTTCATCCACCGCTCTTGTCACAGTGTACAAAAGCACAATGCTATCATCAGATGACTGACAACTTTGTTTCTGTAACCATCGTAATGTTAGCGTACAAGCATGGTGGAGTTAGCAAGCTAGCTAACTAGCCAGCTACAATTAAAATGGCAGTTTTGGAAGGAGAAAAGAGAGTATCACCTCATCAGTCTATTCAAGGAACACCCGTGTCTGTCTGACAACAACCCTAGAATTTATTAGTAACATTACTGAATATTATGTGCTACCATGCTGGAATGGGTGTCGCCTACCCTGGAAATCCAGAGTTCTCACTGGAGCACAATTTGAATTTGCTCAGCAAGTCACTCTGGCAATCAGCAATGATGCTCATTACCTATGCCCATGAAACTGAGCTGCACCAATCACATCGGTGTATCTGATATAGGCGGGCCAGAGGCGAGATAAACAGATGAAGACAAAACTGCGAAGACAAAGTCCGGAATCAGTCAGTAAACATTGCAAGATGGCTACGGATGAACACCAGTTGTTTGAAACAGCTTTGGCCGCTACAATGAACGAGTTAGACTTGGCTTTTTCTCTAAAAGAGGAACAGAAGACGGCGCTCAAATCTTTCCTTTGCCAGAAGGATGTTTTTGCTGTTTTGCCGACTGGATACGTCAAGAGTCTAATCTACCAGTTAGCGTGCAGTGATATTTACAAATGCATGCTTGGTGCCGAACCTCGAGTTGGGCCATTTGCATTACTCACAGCCAGACCCTAAATCTTTCCAGATTTGGGTCTGGATTTCCAGGCTAGGTGTCACCACCGTTATGGGGAGGAAGTGGAAATAAGACGTTAGAGCAGGTGCCATCACTTCAGTGACAACCTGTAACTAGAGGTTGACCAATTAATCAGTTTGGCTGATTAATCGGTGCTCACAAGACGTTTTACAAGTTATCGGCGGAGCTTGGCTCTGAAAGTGGCTGATGGCTGTGCAGCGTCCATCAGCCACGCAGGGACGTACATCCCCGACTAAAGCTGAAGAGGGGAGGTTGTGTTAAATGATACGTGGGTTCAGCTCCAGACAGAAAGCAGAAAAGGTGCATTCTTCTTAATTCTAACATGAATTTACATGATTTTTTTTTGGGCTGGACCAAAGTACGTGACCTGGAGTTTCAAAATAAAATCTTTCTAGCGTTTCATAAATGATCCAGCCATACATAAGTTTTGACCTGATCTTATTAAAAGAGCACTCCACAAAGTCGACGCAGCAGAACTAAAAAGCTGCCTATTTTACACATTTTTCTTCCTCTTCCAACCCTGATGCCTACATTACCCACAATGCAACACAACCTCTGACCGTTTAGTTGATGATTCAAGTGTGTTATGCAGGTGGTGGCTGATGGAGCTTGGAGCCTTTGGCCTGCAGTAGAAATGAGCAGCAGGCGACAGAAGTCTGATAAGCTCACTTCTCTCTAACTCCACACCTCCAGACTGTTTTACTTTTCAAACTCGCAAGTCTTCACCTAACGCTGAGGACAGCGGATCACTTGAGGACATTTATCAGACTTCACACAGCTCCCTCTGGAGATACTAAAGGCTTTACACTATTGATCACATATGCAGAGGAACTCTTCAGAACCTGGAAACACACTTTGATGTCTTCCGCTTTAAAAATAGTGACACCAAAGGAGATTCTTTTTCCATATTTCATCTGCACTTCTTCCTCCTCTGCACGGCATTGTACGCAGCCTGGCAGGTGTCACGGAGACAAAAAACTAATCTGCATGACAAATTAATAAATCATGTGCATGAATTACAGATTTGTGCTCCTGAATTAATAATCACCTCACTAACTTAGCACTTAGGAGCGACAGACTGTTTAGATTATTGGACCATGGACAAAACGGCTCAGATTTATTCCAGTTTCATTTTGAAACTGGACAGAGGTGCTTGGCTTTGATGATTCTGCCTGTTAAAGGGACAGTTCACCCCAAAATCAATAATACATATCCTTCTTTTGCCTGTAGTGCTATTTATCAATCTAAATTGTTCTGTTGTGTGATGCCCAGTATTGGAGATGCCAAAAAAAATCAACGTTTTCTCTTCGTACAGCTCGAATGATGTCCTATAAATTTAACATAACATCCTAAATGTACACTTACACAAATGAAATAAAGTTACAGAGGTTCGGTTTAGGGAGGTAAAGTTACTGTGGTTACATTTGGACAAGAAACAGGGCGAGGTTGTACCTTAAAATTACTTCACACGGTTCTGTACACCAACTCAGAGTAAAGTCCCAGTGGAGAGTCCCTGTTTTTGTGACCCATCCACCAACCCAACCTGTATCAATGCGCAGAAGGAAGCATGCATCTACTAGGGAAGCGTGCAATTAGACGTCTCGCTAGTCGGCACCAGAAATATTAGTTGGTTAAACCAAGAAGTGTTTTAATAATGTACAAGGCTGCTTAACTGTCATGCAGTCACCCACCACTAGTGGGTGCTACAGAGCCGTAGTAGACTGGAGTTTTAAATTGGAAAGATGTCCTCTCACAAAACCAGCACGGTTTGGCAGTACTTTGATCTAGAAAATGAATTCAGCAGCAATGAATCTTTTTTTGAGATGTTATATTATTTGTTAACTTTAAGTGAGTTGTTGTCAGATAATGTGCACTGCACATTATGTGATGGCCAAATGAAGCCTCATGAAGCATTTTCTTTATTTTATGAGCCCACTAGATGGCGCTTTTTGTACAACAAAAGGATGAAAGCACACTGAATTGCCATTCTTTGAGCCTCTCTCTCAGAAAATAAAGAAAATGCTTCATGAGGCTTCATTTGGCCCTCACTAAACAGGGTTTACATTCATACCACACGGAGCAACATGTCTCATTTCAGCTGAAATTTAATTAAAATTTACATGTTGTTTTATTAACTTTAAAGTGAACTGCTATCATTTCTGTCCGATAATCTGCAAGGTTCAATGTGCCCCACATTTCAGAGGCAATTCATTTATTTTAGATGTTATTTTAGTGGTTAACATTTGACTGGGTTGCTGTCATGCTCACATTCATACCACACGGCACAGTGTCTCTAAAGTAGTGATGGCCAAATGAAGCCTCATGAAACATTTTCTCTATTTTCTGAGCCCACTAGATGGCGCTTTTTGTTCAACAAAAGGTTGAAAGCACACTGAATTGCTATTCTTTGAGCCTCTCTCTTTAAACCATGAGCGCCATCTAGTGGGCTCAGAAAATAAAGAAAATGCTTCATGAGGCTTCATTTGGCCATCACTACTCTAAAGCAGCAATTAAAGCTGCACTGTGGAGTTTTGCCCATTTGCGCCATCTGCCGTGTTTTTCTGAGTACTGCAACAATAACAGTCAGGGTGCGCCGTTCGATGACGTCGGCAATACGAGTGACGCTCCTGCACCGCAGAAGTAGGGAGAAAAAAAGGAAAAGAAGATGGATTCGTCAGATGAGGTAACTAATGGCAATGTTTTTTTTGTTTGTTTTTTTTCGTTTATCTTAGGCTGCATGAATGTGTATATTGACACTAGTTGATATGCTGTTAGTGGATGTCCACAGATGTATAACCTTGCAGCCTCAGTCTTGTATTTACCACCCAATAATTTTTGTTGTTTTATTTCCTATGAACAAATATACTGTAGTGACCCTGGGGCAGTGGTGAGTGTGGTATGAGTCAGCTGTCAGTCAGTGTGCGGGCTGGAGATTGGTGGAGCAGAGAGGGGGAGGGCTACCCCGCTGGGTACTGTAAGTGAGTATGTGTGTATGAAGTGTGTGTGCTAGGCTAGAAGAGTCAGAGTTTGGGACAGAGACTTTTACGTCTTACCCCCCTGGAGTGTTACCGAAGTTTTTTGAGTGCACAAATAAATGGGCCTTTTTCCCGAACGCTACTCTGGTCTCCTGCTCGTGAGTGATTCATTACAATACAGACAGCTCGCCGGCAGAGCGGTGCGCCCTTGCGCCGCGGTAGCACATACACAATGAATGGGTTCGTCGGCAGAGGTCTGTGCTTTGCGCGCTCTGAGTGAAACGGGCTTTACTCTGGTTTGATTTCTGCATTTGTCACTCTCTTGTTTTGCCTTTTTTCCTTCTTCTGAACGTCGCAGAGGTTGGGGAGGACCAGCGGGACCAGCTCCACAGGATTCTGAAGCTTTCCTGGGCCGTTTCTTTGGGTTTTCAGACATCTTTCAGTAGCTCCTCTGATAGCCTCATCGTCTCCGACATTTCCAACTGCGCATGCGCTCTTTGAACTCTATGTCAAATGCGTCATTTCCTGTGCAACAGCACGGGAATGTCGCTCCTGAGAGGCAATAGAGCTTCTAAGCAAACTAGAGACTGTTGTGTGGTGGAGATGCGTTCAATGATCATCCTAATAACTCGTTTGGCAGTGGCTGTAATGTAATGGACAGAATAATGGACTAAATATTTCAGAATTAAATGCACAGATAATCATATGTGTGTAAGAATCACCAGTTTTCTTCAAAGCTTTAAAGTTTAAAACATTTTCCTACAGAGAGAAAGTTGACCTGAGGGCTTAAAAGCCAAGGGAGGACAGCAGGATTGATCATGTATCTACTGCCAGGAGGCATTATGCCTTATATACCTGGGTGAATAGAAGAGGTCAGCTCAAAGCGAAATTGCAGCTGGCCGCAGACATGATCTGTTGGCAACCTGCGGCCCAGCGAATAACTCACCACCCGATCCCTGCGGAGAGAGAAGACAGAGACAGACAGAGGAAAAGAGGAGAGAGTGTGTCAAGTGAAAGTGCAGGCAGAGACAGGTAGACGAATGGGAAAACTGAAATACAGCGAAAGAAATCATCGCTAAAATCAGATGGTCACATGAGATTTAAACTGGCAACAAGCACCCACTGCCTTCATCTCATCCACTGTCTGTGTGGGCCAGTGTATGTGGGAAAGCTTCCACAGACTTGACTCATGCAGCACTGGAGTAATATTTGGACTGATGACGAACACAGTCCCACTTCACTCAACTTACCCAATGGCGTGTTTTTCCAGCAGCCTCTGGACAGGGACAGAGAGCTTCCCCAGGAAACGCTTGATGATCGGCCGACTCTTGGCAAACTTATCCTTCACCTCGATCTCCAGGACGTCCGTGGGGAGAGACACGAAGTTGAACCTCTGGAGAAACAGACAGATAAGAGATTGTCCCAAGGATTAGACCACTTGGTGCTACTGGATAAGGATGATATTTCATATCTGTGTACGCACAACAGATAGAACATAGTATCTGTTTACCAGTACACAGGGCACATGCTAGCCTTTAATAGGGACAAGACCAAGAGGTTGTTAAATTCTTATTAGTTCAAAACATTTACTTTTAATATACAACTAATGTCAGCCTTACAAAACAACTTTTCAAGAGATTTCACTGTCTCAGAATAATCTCTAAAATTATGAGTTTTTCTTCAGTAGCACTCACATGATCTCAGTCGTTTGGTTATAAGATGTCATAAAACTCAGTCTCAGCTGTCTTGTCAGTCTTTTTCTCATCTTGATGTTCCGACAAAAACATGTTTAATATTATCTTAAGACTTTTGTCTTGGTTCCTGCAAATACTGAAGTCCCATGACCTGAATATTGTCAACAGCCAATAGCTGCGCTCTCTCCAGCACCAAACAGGAAGTAGCAAACCATGAAGAGGAGGCGCAAGAACGTGAGCAAGTCTCCGTTCTCTTGGACTACGGAAAGGGAGGGGAAACTGGTGGAGTTATGGAGTGAACAGGAGTCAGTGTTTAAATCCTGTGTGTCTGACCCAAGGACGAGTCTAGTGATGGCCAAATGAAGCCTCATGAAGCATTTTCTTCATCTTCTGAGCCCACTAGATGGCACTTTTTGTTCAATGAAAGGTTTAAAGCACACTGAATTGCCATTCTTTGAGCCTCTCTCTTAAACCATGAGCGCCATCTAGTGGGCTCAGAAAATAAAGAAAATGCTTCATGAGGCTTCATTTGGCCCTCTCTACCGACCAGCACTTATTTTAGTGAGAAATCTTAACTTTGGAAACAGTTCACCTCTCATTCTGACGGGCAACTGACCCACTGACACTGGTTGGGACGAAAAAATCCAAAATGTAAAGTTTTACACAAATAGTTTATTTTCATATTGATGCAGAATTGATTAGAATACTGTCGATGCCTTACATCTTGCGTTTCTGGAGTTATGTGTTTTTGCGGACACATAAAAATTTGAATTATTGTTAAACTGTCATATGTTCTTAAAGAGAGTTTGGCATGATATTTTCCACCAGGAGCAAGATGGGAAATTATCTTAAAATGAATCTAGTTGCAGTCTTGCAATTTGTGACTCAGCAGGATCCTCAGTCTTTGTTAAATCTAAGTGAGTGACCAAAACCTCACGTCATCTTTAGATGTCGGCCTGTGTCAGACCTTAGTCTTTTCAACATCTTCCAGTGTGCAATAGAGAATATGTTTTGTATGAAACATAATGCGGCCTGAATTATGTTTTTTGTTTTTACCATCATGACAAAAACTCTTTTACAACCAAGAGGAATGTACCGGGAAAACAATGAATAACAAAACAATCTAATCTCAGTGTCTTCGTGTGTGTCGTGGTCAAGGTTAGAAAATGCTTGTAGTCTTGGGTGAATATTAAACCAGATTAAGAGCATGGCTACAGCCATGCTAGCAGCTCTGTGAGGCTGTCCTAAATGGTAATGTTAGCATGCTAACACCATCATAATGGCAATGCCAACATGCTGACTTTAAACGCAGCCTCAAAATATTTTGTTTTGCAGGTTTATTTACTAAAGAGCCCTTCACATGTCTCTTCTCACTCAGTTGACTGCTGACGGTCTCTTCCAGTTACACTGGATTAAAATATCTTTCCAGTTTTGCACCCGCTTAATTTAGAGCTTCATTTTTATTTCTCCGAGCCAATTAGAGATGTATGTGGTTTTAGTGTGGATGAATTAAATAATCCCCTCCCTTTTGGTCTCTCTCAGCGGGGGTCCGATCGCTGTCAAAGCCTCTTAAATGTGGCTTCAGAGCCTGGAACTCTAACTGACCGAATCCTCCGAAGCTTTTTCCACTCCTACCAAAATAAAATTCAGAGTGGGACACTGAGCGCAACTTAAAGCCCTTTGAGACATGCTTCTAAATTTCTGGCATTAAAATCCTTAATACTTAAATAAATATTAGGACAATTAATAGACTATTAGCAGCTTTAATCCAAAAATATTCACAGTGGAAATGCCCTTCAAAATTATACTGTATCATTAGTGAATATTATTTATGCCTCAACACAAAGATCCCTCTTTCCTTGTCACATTATCTTCAACACTTGCTGACCCTCTGTCGTAGAAACCAGTGATATGATCACATTATCCCACTTCACAGTGTGACAGGTTGAGCTCCTGTTCATTTATTTACCAAAAAAAAAGAGTAAAATCTGAAAAATTGATGTTCTTGAAAAAAAATCTAGGAAACTGACTGACCTGTAAATGAAAGCAACTATAACTTTAAGTCTTAAGTTGTGTTTTTTCTTTATATCCAATTGGTTAAATAAACATAAGATTTAGCTGTATATATCTAATTCTGTATAGTTGCTGCAACTAAAAAGTGACAAGTAAAATGAACTTGCAAAGTGTAAGTAAACCAAATAAGTCCAAATTAACTGAACAGTTGTCTTTGCTTAATTTAGGAAACTGATTGCTTTAGATAAACAAAGTAAATGATGATGACAAAAAATGATTAGTTAGCCGGTTTATTTTTTATTCAAAGGATGCACGTTATTGCATTTTTTGCCGATATACGATATGACGATTGGTAACAACTCATTTGACAGATAACCAATACCAATATTGTTAAATCCACTTTTTCCCCCACATAATTTTAGTGATCATCAAGTCTCTTCTGTCCTGGAATTAACATCATATTATACATGCATGCTCTTATCTAGTGATGGCCAAAAAAAGCCTCATGAAGCATTTTCTTTATTTTCTGAGCCCACTAGATGGCGCTCATGGTTTAAAGAGAGAGGTTACAAGAATGGCAATTCAGTGTGCTTTTAACTTTTTACTGAACAAAAAGCGCCATCTAGTGGGCTCAGAAAATAAAGAAAATGCTTCATGAGGCTTCATTTGGCCATCACTACTCTTATCATGACGGCCCACCAGCAGATGGAGACATGAAATACAATACTTTACAATGTATGTAATATTTAGTAATTGTTCAAAAAAAGAAAAAGCATGTTGGCCAATTCTGTGCCAATATTATCGTGCATCCTTATTTACTTTAAATAAAATGCCATTTAAAGGATTTTGATGTTTTCCACTCAAAACAAATCCACTTTTAAGCCTTACAAAATAATCTTTAAATAATCAGGCTGAATCTCTCGGACTTCAACTGGGCTCCATGGCAGTTTTATCCCAAACACCAATGTTCAATCAAGCTGTAAATAAAACTGTGATAAACAAAAGAGGGCGGTAGGTGTTAACATGGTGCTATATATCTGTATTCTGCTGGTCAGAGCTTGTGATGGCCAAATGAAGCCTAATGAAGCATTTTCTTCATCTTCTGAGCCCACTAGATGGCGCTTTTTGTACAACAAAAGGTTGAAAGCACACTGAATTGCCATTCTTTGAGCCTCTCTCTTTAAACCATGAGCACCATCTAGTGGGCTCAGAAAATAAAGAAAATGCTTCATGAGGCTTCATTTGGCCATCATTAGTCGCAGCTCGTCAGTAAGATTTGTATATTCTTAAACATGTTCACAAAACAGATGTTGCAAACATCCTTACTCACATAGATACAAAAATCTTTTCGTCATGACACAAAATACATATTTTACATAAATATTTATCTAAGGTGAGCAGGTTCTTACGTTCTAATGAGAGAACACATGCAGATACAGTATATATGTCTATATACATTGACTTTATCCAACGTGTCTTCAGCCACACAGAAGTATCTGAAACCTAATGGATGGTGTGTGTGTGTGAGAGCGTGTGTGTGTCAGCTGTGGTGGCAGCCACAGTAGATTTCAGCTGCTGTCCTCTGCTAACCTTGTAACTGAGCTGCACCTTAGGCAGCATTACAGTCAGTGACTTTATATGTATCATGTTGGCCCTCTGATCATGTTGTTAATGTGTGTTCTTGTACATCCTGTGATATTTAATTTATAATCCCAGAGCTGGAAGACAGATGAAAAAAGATACGAGGAAACATGAATGGCTGGGGCACGAAGAGAGAGTGTAATTAGGAAAGAAGCGCAGTGAAACTAAAGTGTGCATGTGGCTGCATGGAATGAAATGAAATGACATTGTGCTGCTAAGAAGACAGAAAAATGAGAAGGGGAGGGGAAGGAAGGCAGGGCTGGGGAAATCAGTGTGCAGGGCGATAAAGGAGGAGGATGAAAAGGAGTCGGAGTGAATAATTTACAAGATGAGCTCGAAGGGAGCAGACAGAGCAAAAGTGTGTGTTTGTGAGTGGAGGATGGGACAAACTCAATAAAGAGGCTGTGATCGTACAGCAGAGAGAGAGTGAGGGAGGAAGGAGAGGAAATGGACGGGAGGCTGAGTGTGTGCTGTTGCAGTAGCAGAGAACAATGTTAATCTCTAGGAAGAGGAGTGAAATGAAGCTGTAAAGGACCAGAGGATGGGAGGGTGTGCGAGGAGACAAAGGGATAGGACGAGTAGAGGAGAAGTAGGAGGAATAAGGAAAGTCATCATGCACTGTAGAAGCTGTCAGAGTCATTCTGAACAATGTGTGTGTGTGTGTGTGTGTGTGTCAGCCCTGCGGTCGTCTGGTGACCAGGGATGTGCCATATCCTCTCGTTCACGATTATACCTGTAGAATTTTTTTAATATGAAAAATTCATTTTGTGATATTGGCGATATTTGAACTTGCTGACATATTGACGTCATACTGTTACCCACGGCAACAACAAGCACGGCTGAAAGCAAAATAATTGCAGACTCCGCAGTGGTTCCAAAAAGAGGAGCAGCTTCAGTAGTGTGGAACAAACTGTAGCATCCTAAATGTTTTACTTCTCTTACCGCTCAGAGGGAACTCAGTCAGCGGCTCCTCTGGCAGCAGCACAGCGTCTCTCCCTCTCCTCTCTGACTGTGTCATTAACCTTTGGTGATGTAAACCTACGTG